TGCGAAACCCGAAATCCGTTGTGAATGCTGACACAACCCAGAGCAAGGTCATTAGACGCATTGGGTTAGTCAGGATTGTCCTGCTGCAGTTAATTGGGCTGCGTTAGCTTGGCAAGTGACAGAACCTCCCACCCTGCGCTCTGAGTTAGATTTGGTGGTAGAAGCATTAATCGATCCCCAATTAAGCCATAAACTCGGACGTTGTGGTGAGTCGTTTTAGCTTACCCACTCACATCCCCATGGCTGGTGATTAGGACGCGATTTATTTGGTCAAACTCTGGGAATAGAAGAGTTGTGCACGGTTCTCAAAGAACGCGCAGATTTTTTGGTTTCCAGTCCTACTTTTACACAATTCAAAGTATTTTGATTATACTGAATGTACAATGTATTAAATGTACTAAATAATAGGACTGGTGACCAGAAGAATTCACACGTTTTATTGAATTGTTTTGATTAAACGATTCGGTAGTAAAGCAGTAGGATCCTGTCTGAAAATGAGTAGTATCTGTGACCTTTCCTCTCTCGATCCCCCCCTTGGTTCCCGTAATAGTATCCTAGGCTTCCCCCATGCACACTTCACGATGATTCACCGAGCCTCGCGGTTCCAGTGGTATTTTGCTGTGCACACGGGTGTGGCAGGCTTCGACGAAGAGTGAGGTTGTAAATTAGTGACCCAATTGAGCGTTAATTACGATGGTGCTGTTGTCGACAAAGGTAAACGCACCTCTTTAAAACAGAAACAATAATATATTGAAGTGGCTAAACCTCAACAAAGTAGGTCACATTCCTTCGATTAAAATTTAACATAATTTGTTTCTGGAGTCTTTGCTTGCTAGTAAAGTTGTCAAATGTTAATAATGGTGATGCATGACATGACCAATAACCCCAACAGAAATGTATCTTACCATTCATTAAACGACTTGATTGTTTAAATTCTATGCTTGAGACCAAATAAGCATCTGAGGCCAAAGTAGTAATGAGGAAGGCTGTAACCTTTACCACGACCGTTTAGACCAAAAACGTGTGTCACTACCCAATGATCCATGAAGAAAAATGAAGCACCAGTTTTTCTGGTTTCTGGTAAAACATCTACCCCATATGTCCATGATTCGTTTTTGCCCAAGTACGCTGAATGATTGTGACAAGTACTAATCCCATCGAGTGGCTTTCAAAAATAACCCAACGCAAATCTGAAGTGTTGGCATACACCATCCCGCAAGAGAAAAGACAGACGGCACCAGATCCGACCGCCCACACGGCTTAAACCAGCTAAGTGTGTCACTGCGTGCGCTGAGTGTGTTAGTCGAGGGCTTGGGAACAGCGACCAAAGGCTACGCCACTGATACCAATCAACTTGCAGTAACACCATGCAGATTAACGTACGGAAGATCCACTGTAGATTCAAAGTTCTCTGGGTTATGCGTTGCAGTGAAGACAGTACCACGTAAGTAGAAAAATTTCAATACGACTTTGCTGAATAGCGAGGACCTAGAAATTAACCATCTGATGCTTTTAGTTTTTTTTGTGAATCTCGTCGCTCCATTCTCCGACACACTGCAATTCTGTTCAAAGTATGTCGTCAGCCGAGCAAAACCTTAACACACATGTCATTAAGGAGAAGGTTCACCAGGGATAGCATTCACCTAGGTCTCGATGTTAACACAATTATGAATCACGCTACTTCAAACTTCTAAGTCATAAATACACACGTGTAGATGCCACACACAACATAACGATACTCGCTCGGTTAAGCTATCTGGTAAACGGTTGTGTCCACGCCCTCTCTGGTCTTTTTCATCATCCCGGCTAGCAAGGTAGCGTGATCGGACCAGCTTCAACCCAGTGGCCCTGGCGTGGTTTGGGATCCCATGCGAGGGCCCAATCAGATCATTCATAATGGTCTCTAAGATTATCAGCATTGGATCTGTAATTCAAATCAATCAAACTTTACCTACCAGAAAGAATTAATAAGGAAGCAGTAATCATTTTCATATCAGAGTATGGTGGGGCACATGAGCTAATATCTTCTTTAAAGATGAGTTCAGTAGCAAGGTAACATTTGACGCTGATAATGTATAGACTCTTTTAGAGGGAATTTCGGATAGTGACTTTGATTTTATTAGGTCTTCATTAAGTATATCAAAATGGATCTATCAAACACATAGACAAGCTAGACTTTCGTGAAGATTTCAAGCACTTGGCTCATTTCCTACAATATTGTACATTTTACTGACTTTCTGAGTGAATCTACATTTAACCACTTGAAAGCTTCCTTTGCATTGTTAAAGTAAATATATACCCATGCTCGACTATTATCGTTGTGAATTCCAGATCGGCAACTGTTCTATTCACATCTCTCATATCAGATCTTGCCTTTAGCCACTTCGCCCCACTTTTCGCATTTTGCGTTGTCTCACCTCTCTACTTCGCAGCCACAGGTCGTCTAGGTGATAGCCCACTTGGTCAATGTCGTACTAGGCATACATAAGCTGCCCTTCTGTTATATTACTCGGACTTTGGCTGAGACAGTAAAATTTACCTGCACAAATTGCAGTCCTGCCTTAGTTTGGGGCGCGCACTTACACGTGTTTTGCCGAGGTACTCGTCAACGGGCTGATCAAACGGGACTCGAGTATTCGTGTTTGCCGCCTTGCCTCTGTGAACCGGTGATCGTAACACAAATGACGAGCATCAATACCAAACCTAAGCATTATTGCAGCCCGTCTCATTAACTGCTACATTATGACGGACTTTCAATCATTTTTGGGTGAAAAAAATTCTCATCGCTAAAAAAAGCTTTCATCAGCAACGACGACAACGTGCGTGTTCTCCACACAAGCTCAACTCCACCAATTACTTCAGCAGACAGATCCCTGTGTTATCCCTATAAAAGTATTCTTATCGTTAAACCCAACGCGTAACCCATAAATACGTCTCTTATTTTTTTGGTAGCGTACAACTAACGTGCGGATAAGGTTAATCGTGAAATGTATTGAGGACTCAATTTCTTTAGTCCGTTACTGACGTTTACTGAAGGGGTTGAATTCAGACAATACCAAACTTCTGTTCGTTTCTTCCTTTCAGCACACCTCCTACTTCCATTTTGAATGCGAAATGTGGTTTTGGAGCTTTGATTCTCAGCATGCTGCTGACTTAATGCTAGAGATATTGCTCTGAAGTGGATTAACAGCGATCGCACCTGATTGAACCCTATTTACTGACTTGACGGTGACAATGACTCATCCCCTTTGCATTATTTACTGTTACCAGACTCCTGTCATCCGTTCACTCATCCACACACTGAGACACTTGGCTAGCGTGACGCTAGTAAACGGCCGTGTCCTCTGTCGCCTCTTGTTCCACTCTTCTCGGGTTGTTAACTAGAGGGTTGTAAGGTAGTGCTAAAACCCTAGCTACTACAGTCCTATGAACGGCAAAGGGGGAAAGGAAGACTGTTCCTCCTACACTTCGATGGTGGGAAAAATACACAAAATAATGGATGGCTTGACTATCGACTAATTTTACCAGCTTTAAGATGAATTCTGTGTCTCATTGATTACTTCTGATTCACCCTATATTTTACTTCCAGGAATAAGTTTCTCCGTTAGTTTTGTTCAATTTAGCCCGATTTTCCATCAACGGAAAAACGAAAACACGAATTACGTTTCATGTTACTTAAGTTTAATGAGTAGTTAAGCTATAGTCCCAGAAAAGTTCATCGAACCCGAGGAACAATGTTTTACCATTTTCAATGTGAATTGTGTGTCTATGAGCAAAGCACTGATCATCAGTGCGTAACTTCATTAATAGTCATAAATATGATTATTTTGACATAAAAGTGTTCCTTGAATATGACCAATGGCTCCCAGCTACCTCGATCAAATTGAATTCCATGCAACCATTAATTTGGTTTTTTTACAAATATAACTAGAAGAAGAAAGTCCTAAGTTTTTCATGAATCCAAAAGGTACGGTATTTACACCTACAAAGAGGTTTATGTAGTGGCAACGAACCAGGTGGCTTAAATAACAACTCCGTAAAAACACCGCTATGAATCGCGAACCAAGAGAGGGCCTGCCCCTCTAAGGACTGTCTGCGCCACACCTCGGGTCCGGTAGGAGCGCCGAACAGCACCAGGGCTGCCATGTGTAGAGGCTGTCAGGCTACGAAGATACTCAGCAATGGTTAAGAAAAACCGTAACGACGGACGCACAACCGCCTATCAGATGGTCGGGAAGACGTTCGTGTGCAGTTATAAATCACGGACGTGCATGAGGTATTCGGATAAACGGGTGCATGCTCAGGTGTCCATATGAACGACGGGGACGCCAAGAGGAGCCACGTGGGACAGACACGCGAACAGTTTGAATGGGCTAATTGCTAGACATCAGTCTACCATGACGGTGGACGTAGTTCTTCACAACGACCTAGCTTTCGTTCATCCTCTCTTTAATACACTTTGCCTTGCCATAATTTTTGTTAAAATGTCTGCAGTCTCCAATCTAATTCATGAGGTTCATCAGATAAAACTTGTAAAAAAGACTATTACAATGCATTAATTCACCAATGTAAGCATGAGATTAACGAAGCAGAAAAACCACTGATGTTTTCAAACTAATTCCTGAGGATTAAGGACCCTGCGAATCAAAGGTGTCTGAAAATGTCCCTCCAATTCCGAAGTGACGCTGAAGACGCACCCGAGAATCACTCACACAACACGCAAGAGGTGTGTCGCGCCCCACTATGACGAAACCGCTGATGGCAATACCCAATACGACTGCGCGTCCCACTCATTTGAACACAGATCAGCCGCTTATGAATGCACCGAATTCCCAAATTTCAAACCGCCGCCCCAAAAAACGACAGTTTATCATGAGTAAAAGAGGTAATTTGCGTTGAGGTCAGGACTTAATACACAACTGATGAGTAAAGTAAATGTAGAAAACACCTCACCAACGCAAATAGAAGCCGCATCACAGCTCATTATCCTCCACACCTGATTATTTTTCCTCCAAGTTTTCATCATCACGGATGTCATCTTTTCGATTGGTCTCATTCCCTCTAGTTGCTGACAACGAATAATGTGCGTCGGCGCCAACTTGTGAAGCCGAGCGACCCCTTGCAGGGGTAGAATGCTTGCTCGACGATCTTGACCGTCGACTACCTTCGTTGACAGAATTCTTCGATCGACTGCGAGATCGAGAATAACGATCGCTTCCGATGACAGATCGGTCTTCTGATTTATTTGGCCCGGGTTTAAGGCCATCATGATTTCGTGAGACTTGGGTCTCCGAAATAGCTGAGCGACTGCGCGACCTTGAAGAGTGATCATCATCACTTTCGGATTGCGAGTGATCCACTGGGTTAACTGATCGGCTTCGTGACCTTGAGTGGCGACATCGTTCGCTCGTGCTGGGCGAACAACTCCCGGAGAGATTACGAACTCGAGGCACCTCAACTTTACTGCTAGCTGAACGAGAACGCTTCAGTGAACTCAAGGATGAACTGCGGGATCTTGAGTGATGAGTTGCCCCATTTGCTGCGTGTGAGTGATCCGACGACCGACTACGTGCACTTGTTCGTCGACGCTTTTCGCCGTTTTGCCCACGCGAAGGAGAACGACAACGGCCACTATCCCTATCAAATCGTTTTCGCTTCCTTTCGATGTCCGACCGAAATGATTCAGATCGACCTCCATGAGTGCGATTGTTGCCATGATCTACCGACCGCCTGGATGCTGAACGACTCCGGGAATCAGAACTGGAACGTCTATGGGATTTGTGATGTCGCCGTGTTTTTTTTCTGCGCTCGGTGAAGCTGGAAGATCTCGACGTCCTGTCACGATGGCGCCTATCACGAGATCGGCTGCGTGAGCGACGTCGACGATGGTTCTGACCCCTTGACGGAGAGCGAGAAGAGGAAGTAGACATGGAGGACGGTCTCCGCCAGCGACGAACTTCCCGCTGGCGTCCACGCTGAACCGTCCCTATTTTTGCCTTAGATAGCTCTTCAAGTTTAGACGGGACTCTCTGATTGGCCTCCTTCAATACTTTCACCAACTGTCGAGCCTGTAAATGGCAACAATACAGAAATATAAAAAGAAAAAAAACATTTTTGGTAATAACATAGGAAAACGTACAGTTTTGGGATTATCACTGGTAAAAAACGTATATGCGGTTCCTTTCTTGTCGCTTCTTCCAGTGCGTCCTATTCTGTGTACATAATCCTCCGCATGTGTTGGATAGTCGAAGTTTACGATGAATCGGATATCAATTATATCTGGAAAATTAAAAAAAGTCATGAGAACATCCACGCTAAGTCAAGGCTGTGCGCGAAATTACTGGTGATTGAGAGAGAGAAAAGGAGCCCGGGATTTACCAACGTGAGCGCTTGGTGGTAAGTGCCAACGAGCATGCAATTAAACGTCCCCAACGAAGACCCCGCGCGTTGCGAGGACGTCGCAATAAGCGCCAGTACGCGGAAAGACCGCCGGAGGCGATTATTCTGTGGCGGTGGAGGCCCGCCCGACGCTTAACGGAGGTCTGGACGGGATCGAAAATCAATAACAACGCCCAACCTGCGGTGCAGGGAGCGAGGAAGAGCGACCCCACACCATCCGTTTGATCACAGGAGAGAGGGGAATGAGAGCTCTGACAGAACGAGCCTGCTCCATTTCCCTGTCAGGTGTTAATTTGTATTTGCGTCGAGTGGGCTAGTGTGATGTCACGAATACCCAACACGCAGTGGGGCATTTGCGGCTTTGGCGAGAGGCCAACGTCCACATAGCCCCACATGCCAATTTGAGTGGCCTGTCAAGCATTTCAGAAAATATGCATTTGAAGTAAATGAGGACGGTCTTCAAAAAGCACTAAAAAAAAGCAGACCAACTTACCAAGTCCTCTGGCAGCTATATCCGTGGCCACAAGTGTCGTGATTCTGCTGTTCCTGAAATCTGCGTCGGTTTTAGGTGTAAATTACCACATTACCTCCTAGTATTGCTTCTCTTTCCCTTTGTTGTTTGCTTCCATGCATGGCAGAAACATTGAAACCACGATCACGTAGCCGATACATTAATTCGTCGGCTTTTCTTCTAGTTTCAACAAACACAATTGACTTAGACTTCCCAAAATCTTTCAGAAGCTCGATTAGACGACTGTATTTCTCCGACTCTCTAATAACCTCTACGATCTGTTTAATATTGTGATTTGCATGCAGATCCTCGGAGCCAATGTTTATCTGGACATATTTTCCTAAGAACTCACGGGCCAGCGACCTCACTTCCTTGGGCCACGTTGCAGACCACATAAGGGTTTGCCTGTCGGGACGTACTTGAGAGACGATACGACGAAGAGATGGCTCAAAACCCATATCTAACATCCTATCAGCTTCATCCACAACCAAGTAAGTGGTCCGACGTAAGTTCGTGTCCCCAGATTCCAGAAAGTCAAGTAGTCTACCAGGGGTTGCAATAACAACCTCGGGATAGCGTTCCAAATCACGTAACTGAGGTTTCCTAGGTGCTCCGCCGTATAAACAAGCAACTCGCAGTTTGCAATTAGAACAGAAGTCGCGTGCTACTGACTCAACCTGCTGTGCAAGTTCACGGGTAGTCACCAAAATAAGCGCGATCGGGCCGTCGTGGCGCTTCATTGAAGGTTGGGCCTTTATGTGCACAATTGCAGGTAAAAGAAAGGCGGCAGTTTTTCCAGACCCTGTCTGAGCTATTCCAACAACATTCCGACCACTTAGAGCTAGGGGCCAACCCTGAGACTGGATAGGTGTTGGGATCTTCCACTTATTTTCCTCAATAACTTCAATGACAGCCTCAGGAAAGCCCGCCTCCAAGAAAGTAAACACTGGTCGAGGAATATCGTTTCCGTCAATGGTAATTTTTGACTCTTCAAAAAACTTCTTAATATCCCTTGAGCTTCGTCTTTTCACGGATGATGACTCCCTGTAGAAATCTTTTTCAAATTTGACCAACTTCTCACGCTTCCAGTCAACACTCCTCAGGCGATGACCTGGCGAACACCTTCCGTGACTTCTAAAACACTATACCTTAGTTGAGATAGCTTACCGCCTAGGTGACCTCGATCGCCTACTCATTATAATGAGGAAAAGAAGCAGCCACAACCAAAAAAGTGTCCACCAATACACAAACTAAAACAAAGTAATTGTCCTTTAACTTATGTTGAATAAATTTACTTTGCACGAACGATGTATGCTGACAACTTACTCATGCCTATGTTAACTAATTTTTGCCTTAAGTAAAGGCACTTTAATTTGCTCAATATGTTAAATTTTTAAATTATCCCATGATTTCATTAAATTAAGTTTTGAAAAGATAAGAAAAAACGGTGCATGTTTCCTTCCAATAAATCTTTTGAAGGACAAAGTTTGATAAAAATAATATAATAGTTAAAAATTTTTGTCAGTATAAGAGGTTAATATGTACCCTAGATTCAAGACTAATAAAGCAAACCTATGTAACATTAAATATGTATGTAAACCAGTCAAGGAATTAAAAAACTGTCTTTAAATTCAGTATATTCAGTAAAGGTAGCAATTGCATGTGAGTGAACAGCGGCTTCCGTTGCACTCCAACAAATTGTGACATTGGCGCAGGCAAAAATAAGTTAGCAAAAGTAATATAAAAAGGATGTGATTCAGGTAAAGATCTGGTCATTAAAAGATTCCATTGGAAAGCATATGGGCCGGAATAACTGTTTAAGAAGCAGCATTTGCAAAAATCACACGAATCAATAATTGCAATTTGGGGTATTATTAAAAACAATGAGATTAAGGAAGAAGTCAAGGACTTGATAAAAATTGACCTTAAATTAACAACATTTTCCAAAGACTAGACCTATACGTTATGCAGTTAATAAAAGTTAGAACTAGAAAAAGGTAAAGAACTAGTCCAAAAAATGTTCTCTAGAAATTGATTTTTCTAAGATAGCTACACCATCAAGGTTAACTATCAGGCATAAGACAGATGAGTGGCAGGAAAAGTCACATGTATTTCATGCCACCTCTAATGCAGAGAGGGTAGAGCTTAGGGAATAAGTGAGAGGTGGAGGAGGGCGATTGGGCGTGTGGAAGTTCGGTTTTGCCCATGGGCAGGCCTAAAGGAAGGCAGGATAAGAGAAAGGAAGACGCGGAAATAAAGAGGCCGGGGTGCGTGGGACGTATTTCGCGTGTTTCATTATTCGCCTACTGTAAAGTGCGTCTCATCTACCATTATCTCTGATTGGCTGTTGATCCGTATTATTGATCACTTAAATGCACCAAGAAGGAGGATTGGCTAAGTTTCGCTTCATCCAACATGTCTGCGCCACATTTTTAATCTCTGAAGCGATGCGAAATACCCAAGCCCTGGTATAAACATTGGTGGAACAGAACAAGTTGTATTAACTGATCACAAGTCGGAACGACACGTCAGGCGCCATCCATCCGAGTCTAAAACGCTGGCTGTGCCGCTTATTACATTCTGCTCCCGTATAAAATGCCTCCGGTTGACTTCATGTCTTCCTCGCATGCCATTGGGACGCAAAGAGACAAACGATTGGTTGAGGAAGTAGTGATCCCAAATGTCCTCAGACAGACAGACAGGGGATCGACTGAGGCCAGTGGGGTCCAATATGTCTGCGCTGCTATTCATCATTGTGTAGAATACCCGAGCCTAATAGGAAAAAGACTGGTACAACAGAACAGGCTTTATTGACCAACCAGAAGCCAGAGCCACGCATCAGACGCCCTCCATCCGAGTCCACCACGCTGGCCACGCCGCTCATTATATACTGCATCTCTTCCATGTCCTTCTCTGGTTGGCTGCCTTCCTTTCCCGCATGCCATTGGATCGCAGAGAGACACGGGGTTGGCTGAGTCCAGGTGGTCCAACATGTCTGCGCCCTAATCCGACGCCACACACATTTGCAGGACAACAATTGGTGATTGGGACTGGTGATCCAATATAGTGCTTTTGAAAATGTCAGATATCTTTTCTACCGAATTTCAACTGCCTGAACCATCAGATTTTTTATGTGGAGTTGTAGAAGGTACCTCATTTATGTCAAGTCGGTCGTCGGCATAAAATTATTATTCGTTAATTGTTACAATGTTATATCGCCAGTGGTGTTACTTCCAGTACTTGCGGTGAGATTCTTTCGCTGTAACCAAGGCATTTTTGGTTTCCCTGCTTCGTAACGACCGTAATTTGGTCAACTCACACTGGGATCGCAGATGCTTACATCATTTTTGACATAATTGCATTGCGGTGATCGTACCGACTTTCCAAATCACGTATGTGTGGTCTTACATACAAAGACATGTGCGTTCGTTTGTCTTTTGGCGAACTGTCAGCGATCAAGCGTGTGTGAAGTTTAATTTCATTGGACTTTTTCTATTTAACTGTGGTTTGAGGCTTTTAGTACCAACTTAGGTTTGGGGCTTCCATTGATATAGCTATTGTCCGATCATTATTGGGAGGTGTTTTTCTGTTATAAAGGCACATCTGCATAGTCTGCATAAGTTGATTTGCCCTTCTTAATTGCGCCTTCGCACTTCGTGTTTCAGGATTTTACGGTCGGCCGTGGACATATCCCCAGCGCCGCGAACTTTTCAGGCGGTAAGTTACCTTCGAGTTCCTGCCACTTCTCTTCTCCTTCTTTATGCTCTTGGCTTGGTCCTTGAATGGCTTACTTCGTTGCGGCGCCATATGCCACTAACTACCCAATGAAGATGAAGCTTGCGGAAGGAGAGAGAGTCAACCGTTTATTCAGGGACTTGACGAGGTCGTCGTCGTGTGTGTGTGATATGCTGATGTCAAACCAGTTTATATAGGATCAGCTAAACATTGATCCCTGAAAGGACATAGTTACGTGAAGCGCATCCTCGTAAATCAATTGAATCAAGTTCGCTCACGATTGCTGTGTTGCTTGCTGCTCGCCACAACTTGTCTGTATTGCCAGCACTTCCTCCTTTTTCGAGTTTTCACTGCGGATACATCACCTATTTTCTTTTTGCTTAAGCATGCAATCGATGGGTATGAACGCCTACCTCTATGCACCAAAGGATGACCTGAAACACCGGCTCTCTTGGCGAGAGCCCTACACAGAAAAAGAGGAAGATAACATGCGGGCCCTGGTTGCGGCTGCTGATGACCATAATGTGTGCTTCATATTCGCTATCTCTCCTGGCAGCGACATTGTTTACTCTGATAAGGATGATGCTGCCGCGTTAAAAGCTCGTCTCCAGCAAGTGTGTGATTTTTTTTTACACTTACCTTTGACTTAATCTATTAATCTCGGGACTGCGCTTGATGTTCCTCCTCCTAGCTATGACTTTTTGAAATGGAAACTTGATTGTAAATCACTTGTATGACTGACCTTCTATGACTTTTCATAGACGATTCGTCCAATGTTCGCATTCTTCAGTTGTTCGTTAAGGGAGTTTTTGGATTTGTGCATGAAAATTCCGCAGAGTAAAGTTTCCACCAAAATCAAATGGTTGATGATAATCGAAGTTTATGAAAATTGTTGATTGTCGTCTGTGTTCACATGTTCATTTCGCGTATTGACTTTAGTCTACTCAACTCAGATGTCAAATTTCTGAATTCGGCGTCACTCTGAGTTGGCTCATGTTGTCAGACCTCATCTAATGTCACACGCCATTCAATGTTTTCCTATTTTGTAGTGTTTTATTACCAGATCAACTTGAGCTCTCTTGGAATGGGATTTCTGATCTTTCGATTTTATCCTAATTATTAAGTTTTGTTAGCATTCTCGTCCTTACCGTTCAGTCAGGGTCGCGCTTTTATCCTGTCTTCTGGCCCAATTCTTTTTTTTGTTTTAAATGCTCCGAACTGTGAACAAATTTCAGCTCTTGTTACTCTGTTATGGTTCAGTATTGCAAAACCGAATGGTGTGTCACCTTTAGTCTGGATCGAATCCCTGTCTTCAAGCGATTATAACGAATCTGATCTTGACGTCGTGTTTTCACCTTGTACGTGCTCTCCTACTTTTTGACAAGCAGAATCTCATTTATGTTTCCCCGCCTTAAACTCCTATTTAGGCTGTGAAGCTCGGTTGCCGTGCATTTGCCCTTCTCTTTGACGACATCGACACACGCCTATGCACCGCAGATCAGGAGATATACGGCTCCCCAGGACGTGCCCAAGTGTCTCTCACAAACCAGGTCTACGAGGCCCTAGGTTGTCCCGAAACTTTCCTCTTCTGTCCAACTGAATACTGTGCCAGCCGAGCAGTGCCTAACGTGACCAATTCAAGCTATCTTGCTACGGTTGGATCAGAGCTTGCTCAAGGTTGGTTATTTTGGAGTCTTGCTGAAGTCTGTGGGAGTTCACAGGAAATTAGTAAACTAATACTAAACTCCGGTTGTTGTTTTTTTTAATTTAATGAATTGTACAGTCGATAAAATAATTTTTTTGTGCGGACAACCTCTACCTTTACCAACCAATGCTTTTTTGCGTCTTTAATGTTTCTGGTTGTTAATGTGTGTCAAAGACGTAAAAAGTGGCTGCCTTTTTTCTGACTTCCGACAGCTTTTGGCTCATGCGCTTTTGAAGTCCATTGTTGGACAGACAAAAAGTGGTCACGTGGCTTTTTGTCATTAATTTGGAGTTGAGGGGCCAAGTCGTATGTCCAAATCTTGCCCTCCATCACAAAGCCCGTAAGACGTCTGCTTCGGTGGTGGCCTGCGTTCATTCGCATTTACACCTTAGGTAATGTTGTGTTGAGTCTAGGAATTCAGTTACTCTCGTACACCGGTCGCTACGCCTCAGAAGACTGTCCACACTTTGCTGAATCACTTTTAATTTGTTTAAGACTAGGGTAGCTTTGTTCTGACAACTTTATGTTAGAAAAAGTCCCATTGTGAACGATTTAGGATTTGGTCTTACTTAATTGCATGGTAGTTAGCCCTCAAGATACCTAAATTATTTTTTTTTGGCTGGGTGTCCCATCAGTGTGCGAGCTCTTACCTGACGTTAGACCCGGATTGTGTAACAGTGGTGCTTTTCCTCACTGTTAAAAATAGGGTCTAGTTCTCCGACGTACGTACACTTGTCCCCGGCGAGCGAACCCCCGTGACCCTTTAGTCAATGAATAACTCTACAAACCGCCTCAAATTTAGTCCTATCTACGTTTTTTTTACAGTTGTATGATTTTTGTCTGATTCTTTCAGGGTTCTCTCTAAATCTACTTAATTGATCCTAACGATTTGCCGTGTTGTATTGCTGTCATTTTGCCTCAAAAAATAGTCTTTGCTCATGACTCGTCCTTTAAAGTACATTTTTTTGTTGTAAAAATTACATCTAGGTGTCAAAGTCTGTGCTTTAGCGACTATCCCTGATCTACTTTGTTCAAAATGCGTGGAGCTTGTAAACTTTGTTCTTAATTTGGTTCCCTTCTAACTGCCGTTACCTTAATGAGGATGGTAAATCTAAGGCCTTCAAAGCTTACTTTGTTATCTTATTTAAAATGCACCGCTATTTGTCACTCTTTTGCAGGTATTAATGTATTATGGACAGGACCGCTTGTTGTCTCAAAACGCATCCCCACGTTGGGCATTCGAGACCTTTCGCGTATGCTGAAGCGACCGATCGTGCTGTGGGACAACCTCCACGCCAACGACTACGACCAACGCCGTGTCTTTCTCGGCCCCTATGCGGGGCGGCCACTTGCCCTCCGACGCCGCAAACTCATTCGTGGTGTGCTGACGAACCCCAATTGCGAGTTCGAAGCCAACTTCGTTGCTATCCACACTCTTGCACAATGGGCCAGGTTTGTTCCACTTGACCCGCTCTGGCCACTTACAATTATCTTATCTTACTGCACTAAAGCGGCATTGTTTAGCTTTTATGTGAGTCCTTGCAGCTGCATTCAATCGTCGTCGCCCTCAAATTTGGCCTAATGTATATCCACAGTAGTGTAGCACTGAATGGCCCACATTTCGTTGTTGCAAACATTCCCAGAACACAAAGCTCACTAAACCATTCCCTCGTTATCAATAACTTGCTAAACAGTTGTTGCCTGACGGAAAACACGCAATGAATTAATGTAATTACACTTTGAATAAGGCCCTTTTATCGTGTGTATAATTTATTTGGTCTTATTTGTAGATCTGCCCATCCATCGTACGCCGATAAAGTAACAGTTTCAGCAGACTTGGCCGATATTGGCGATGATTTGGAACAAGAAAAAGCCGAAAGTGATGAAAAGGAAATGGAAAAGAAGGTAGCGGGATCAGGTAGCCTCAGTAGTGCACCTGCTCCTATATATCGGCCGCGGCAAGCTCTTCTCAACGCCCTCAGAGACTGGCTTTCTCTTATGCTGCAGGTCAGCCATTAATATTGCTTACCTTCGGTTGATCCCTAACCAACCGCGCATTGACGTGATCGAATGCTCCAGCTCCTCCAAGTGCAAGCATCCTTCAGTGATTCGTTTGCGTTTTTAGATGCAGTCTCTCTAATCCTGACTTTCTTTCAAAAAGAGACTAGGGCGAAAGGAAAGGCAGTTGTTTGTGAGCATCTTACACACACTCAGCTGTTTGGGCTTTTCAGGCATCTAGTTCCGATTAAAACCTGCCACTCGTAGTCTAACCACTCTACCCTGAGGGGATCCGACTTGGGCAAAAGCCGGGTACGGGGGCCGGGTTGTTCTCACCTTCGGAGCGGTTCTTGTCCATTCCTAACTTCACATATTTCGTCGACCTTCTCACCTCCCTTGTTTTCAAGATCAGGTGTTGCTCAAAGACTTAGCCTTAGTTACAAATCACCATTTATCATGCTTGTTCTGTGCATTAGGTCAGCCTGCTAGGTTTTCACTTCTATATCTTCAGCCGCGTCTACAGTTGCCTCTGATCCTTTTTTGGCTACATCTGTTAAGGTTAATTTAACTCATCCAATTCGTTAGTTGATAGTATGGTCACCTACTTAAACGTCCCAGAGTATCGCACGTAGGTAATTCGATTTTTCAAGAACTCTCAGTAGAAAACGCACTTGTGATTGCTGTAACCTTTAATCAGTCTTCCCTTTTTTCATAGGACCAACGGTCAACCTCAGTTCTAGCAAAGCAATCAGTTTCGAATCCTCCTTCGCCTACTCCCATGGAAACAGATTCCGTCGAAACTCCAATGCAGGTAGGCATAGCGACACACACACACACACACAATTTTTGTCACATCTACAAACTGGAAATCCGTTTCCTGTTTGGCACTTTCCCTTGTTATATTAGCTTAATATTTAGAGTAGAAACTGATAAACGCGCTTTTTGCTATAATGAGTTAAAAGTCGCTCATGTTTGCTCTCACTAACAGTTTGTTCTTTAGGTTGAAACAGACATTGTCGAGGAAAATGGCAGCACGAAAGCTGGATCCGATGTTAACATGATTTCGAGTAAGTAAAGCTGATCGTTACTTTTCTTTAAAGGTCGGTGACTGTGCTCGCTCGCGCTTCCCCAGTAAAGCGCCCGATGAATGCACTCTGAAGGTTGTTATTAGGTTTTACCCTTTCGTTTGTACAGCTGAAGCAATTGACTTGGTACCCTCCCTCGGAATTAGCTTAGGGGACCTTGAGCTACTCGCTGACCTGTTTTACCTCCCGTTCTCACATGGCCCGACAGCCCTCAAAGCTCTCGAACTTGGCCATTGGCTTCGCGATAATTCCCATTTAGCACCCACAGACAATCACGTCGACTTGGGGGTAAGTATAACTAATCTGTCTACTTATTACTATGCAAGTAGCGTTTTGCTTAATGAGGTTATTTTGAGTTTAGAACAAGTGGAGCAAAAAGTTTGCCGAACTCTTGAAGATTATCACGAATGTGAGTCAGTTAAGGGAGAAGATTCAACGGCTTCCACATCCTGGTGTTGTTTATGACCTCGCGCCTTACCTTACTGACATAAATTCGGTTTTTGCCATGATTTTGGATTACTTCCGCTGGCTTGGTAAGTTTTGGTTCCGTGTTCTATTTCCTAAAACAAATTTTTGTTCTCAAATATGAATTCATTCATTTGTTGCAAGTGAAAAAATACCAAGCTGATTCAATCGAAACGCTTCGCTTAAGTGCTTATTGAATTTTCGTTTTCTTTTGCCTATTTTAGAAAACGGTGTTATGGCCAACCGCAATCAAGCACATCTGAAGCGCCTTCTCACGTGTGAGTTTGCATTTGTCTAGCACAGGCGTCCTGTCTCTGTTTTGTCTGCACCAAGTTGTTTTTACTGCTTCGCCTAGGGTTCTCACCGGGCTACAGTGAGATGACGATGTCAGGCGACCACGAGCCCTGGATGTTCCGCGGTGGCCTCATCACAGAGCTTCAGGTGGTTGTCTTCGCGTTTATCACCGCGGTGTTCAAGCCTGACCATAGTCTCTTGTTCCATTTGTCACGCTAACTTCGGGGGGGGGGTTGGTCAAGGTATCCCCTGCGGCTGTGTTAGTGGAAAAATTGGTTTGAAGTTATGATGGGATAAGCAACCTCGGTTGCAACATCAAACATTTAGCATGGGTTATTTCCAATAGTAGCTATGATGAATTGCTTGGGCTCACCACACACTTCGGTGAGGCAGTACAAATCTGGCTAAGCAGATTTGTTGCCTAGTTCGCCTGTTTCTTGATGACGGCTGTAACGAAGCCACCCGGCTCAGTGAAAATCCCATCTGTCTGCTCGCTGGTTGTTACCTTAAATCCGTTACTTTATGCCCTTAATTTGATTTGTTGTAGCGGATTTTGCCCCTCGAGTCAGCTCAAGACCTCTTTCCAGCCCCCAGTCGTGTCGGCCCTACGCTCACCACCACTCCAGCCGGCCCGCTTCCCAACCCCTGGGTGCCTGAGTTCACCACAGATCTTCCCCCTATTTTTAATTCTATTGACAAATCATCCCTCCTCGACTCTGACAACCCCGCTCTCCGCAAAGTCAGCTTCCAGCCCCGTCGCCCCTACATTTTGAGACCCTACAGACCCGAAGACAAGCCCAAGATTTATGCTCTGTGGAGACGGATTCTCTTGCGCAGGCTCGGACTCCTTAAGGATGCCCTTCCAGAAAAGTATATGGATCTCCCTGGAGACAGGTAGGTTCCCCTCAATTTCCTGCGTTAATGTTTACTAGATAGCTTTGAATCCATGGTCGTCCACTTCGTCACATTGTTCTAGCTTTTTTTAACAAATGTGCTCCTTAGTTCTCCTCCATTTACAGTGCCTTTTGGACCATGTGATGCCGGTATTTTCGCGCCAAATTGTCTTACCATGGACTTATGACTACTAGCCTAGTTCTCCTCTCACCTAAAGGGCATATCTCTAGCTGCTAATTTCCGCTCTACGATTGTGGCGTTTCTATTATTGTATTTCGGTAACCAACCATTAGATTTTTACTGGATTCACATGAGCGGCTACCTTTGATTGCACTTCTTTTTTGATCTGTCACCTTTTAACGACTTAGTGTGAGTTCTGTTACTGGCGGGGCTCGTAGAATCCTAGACCACTTCATTCACCTCTTCGAAGACCTTCAGTTACTACGTTCTTTGTAGCCGCAATTGGTCAAAAGGTGGCGATTAAAAAAAGTTGTGGGGAGGGGGTTCTAGATATGGAGATCTCGATTCCACTTTATGGATTACATTTGCTTTGAATATTTGTTGAATGGTTCATGCCTTTCTATCGCCTCGCCTGCACGTCGGCTCTGCCAGGTGCGTTGATGTGTGTGGGCTTCCGTCCTACCTGAGCAGGAAATGGCTATTAACTTGAAGCACTAATGCACAGGGCTTAATCACGCATTCCCGATCGTTACTGACACTTTTGTCCCAAGGTACTGCTTCACCTACCTAGAACGCTTTCCTCAGCATTGCCTCGTAGCAGAAGGTCCTCCTCTTTTCTTCGATTCCGCTGTCGAGACGCCGTCATCTTCACAGGCAGACTCATCCCTTGGTACTCCTCCGTGGGACATCGTGGCTTTTGCGCTCGCCGCGCCCGACATCGGTGCGTTGACTCGCGATCGGGACGAGCTGCGTCGCAGCCAATTGCGGGCCAAGTACCCCAAAGATAGTAGTATTCGAGGGAAATATAGCACCATGCCAAGGAAGCCGTCCATCAACAGCTCACTTCATCAACTCTCTGCTGAAGACTTTATCAAGGCAAATCTACATCACTTTTGTCCTTGTTTATCTGTTCGCTATCCCACTTTTTAGGTGGTTTTTATTCCTTCCCGCTTCTTGCATTAACGATTTCAGTAATTCCCAGTGCCAACCCGTGTAGGCACTTCTGTCGTGTTTTCCCTCACAAGACAACTTAATCGAAAATGCAAGTGCTGTAAACGAAGCTCAAAGAAGTACCGCATCAGGTGTCGCTTTCATGTGCAGCAGGTTACTCTAGTTGTGTTTGTGTTGTGAAAAACAATGTAGCCTAACACTACAATGGGCAAAACGTCCAGTCCTTGCTCTGAAAGAGGAAAGTAATTGAACCCGTTGTTTTGTGACCTTCATAATTTCTTGACACTCAGGGAACCAATCAATTTTTTATGGCTAATGAATAGCGTCTATGTAACAGTATTCTGTATGTAAGCTTTAGCAGCATAAACACCAGCCCCAGTTTGTCCAGATTGCCGAGTTTACACCATATTCTTCTAGATATCCTTGGATTGGATCCATGACGAGCGGACAACCAAGGCATCATCCAGCGTCATCGCTGAGGCCGCCGTCACCGAAGCGCCTCCACCCGAGCCACTCGGTGCTGCGATTTCAGACCAGTTGGCGGGCATTCCTCCTCAACGGCTGCAGCAGACTGCGGCTGAGGGTTGCTATCGAGAAGAAAAACCATTCACTGTAAAGGGAAACCAGATGGACGAGGAGGAGGGGGCGGCGGCGGCGGCAACAATGGAGGATGCCGTAAGTGACAAGGAAAAACAAACCTTGGCTCGATCTAAGAGAAAAGGTGAGAAGGCAGCAGAACTGGTGATCGAGAGCGGAAGGAGCGTCGATGAGGGGTTGGAGGTGAGTTCATGATTGTGGGACTAATTTGTTTTTGGGTTTCACAGACTTATGTAGAGTTGAGTGTGGTTGAAGAAAGTATTGTGGGTCGCACAGACTCCAGCCATGAACGCCGTTCTCCACCTCGACGCCTCGGTTGTAAATTTCGAACTTTCGCACTAGTCAGCTCGCTCAACCGAGGTTTACCAGTTTTCAGTGGGACACAGACTTTTCTTAGAAGCTAGGTTTGAATTTGACAGTTTCGTCATTTTAAGCATCTGAAATGTTTTTGCGACTGTTTGCACAGGCATATTGACGCTCGAACGCGGGCGATCTAATCTGGAGTGGTTAGCTCTACATTTGGGTCAATTCAATTGACGTGCAAACAACGTTCTCAGTTGTTTTGTTTGTCTAAATTAACAGTAAACTTATGTAATGAATGCTCTACCTCTTAGTAAGACTCATCCATTTATTTCACTGCACTTTCATCAACAGATGTGCGTCATGCAGTTTGCTTGGATTCTGCCAGTCTTTGCATCTTGATTTGCTACCGCCCAAAATAACATCTTTCCTGATGTCTTAGTCAGATACAAACTGTCACAAAACGTGGATAGATCCTCGCTAAGCCCTTCTCTGACCCTTTAGATGATTATCCTCCCCAAAACTAGAAGTTAGAGCACATTTGGCCCCTAGGTTCAGCCAAGAAGAAGTCAATTTCTTGTTGTTTTGCTTCAGCAACTGAAGTCGGGTCCTCGAACGGTTGAGGCCATCCACTCGGCGCTGATGGCCCACCCTGCAAGCATTTTCGTAGAGTTAGACGACTGCAGCTTCAGCGGTGGTGGTGGTGGTAGTGCCAATCTTCCAGTGACACCTGCGACCATAATGAACCATCACCTCGGCCTCGGCTTCGACCCGCCTGAGTTGGTCCTCGATGAAGTCGCTAGACGCCTTTTCGTATGCCTTCTTGCTGGACTGAAGACGTGCGCCTCACATGTACGCGCCCGTCTCCTCTTGTGCCTTACGGTTTGTACGTGGTGACATGAGGATGTCAAACAAAACATGTGATTAATCGCATCATTATTGCTAAGCCAAATTACTAGTTCAGTCCTCAAATTATACAAGCGAGCCATTCACGATTTCTTGAAGGTAGGTTTTTTGTCTGACCGATTATAAGTTTCCATTTATGTAAAGGAGGGCTGTTCGTGTCTCAATGCAATTTTATGACACTGTGTCTCAATGTCTATGCATTTCACCTTTGAATCGCCTTTCATTTTGTTGCGCTTGTTTCTTATTTCTGGTCACAACTTTTGTTAGCAATTTTAAGCGCATGTGTTTTTTTTGTTTCTGGCCGTATTTTGCTTGTGCGTCTCAAAGATTTATTGCCAATCTCCACACACTAGAAGCCAGGTTGTATATCAAGTCCCGTGTTGCTTCATTGACGAGCTTTCACCTTCTACTTAGAAGCCAAGTCGGTGCTGAAAGTGTTTGTATGCGAACCAGACATCTGGCTGTACACTCATTAGGTTTGAAAATGTCGTCATTTAATCGGTGCCTTTTTCCGCAGGGTGTTCACGTTGAGCTGGATACAATCAATGAAACACGGGCAGATCTGTATCGTCGCTTCGGATTTTACCCAGTGACAGCAGCGTCTACTGACTTTATCACCGTTCTCGGACGTCTGATTTAGCTTCATGCATTTGCTCTAATTCCTCAGTTCTCTTTTGTGATCAGTCTCCGCCTTCACTGTCCCGCTGAGAGAATTAATCCTTTTAAGTAATTTTGTCGCGCCCTCTATTGTTTGTTTACATTAAATAACTTTTTCAATTGGTGTAATTACAATCAAAACCATGTGAAATATCGGATGGGCTGGTCTCATAGGCTCGAGACAACACGTGTTGAGGCCGTGGTTTAGCATCTAGTAAAGTCTTTACATTCCTGCATTAAGGAGGATGAGGCATTCCGTTATCAAGAATTGATGGAGCTACATAGTAATCAAAAGAACCCTAATCGCCCGAAACAGAAACTGGGATGATGTCAATTGTGTTGTGCTAAAATGCTAGTGCGCACACAAATCAATACCCAAGAGCCTGTTGAGATGGGCCCTTTGGTAGGTAACTTTCCGAGCTTGGTCATGCAGGGGTATGCCAAAGTTCTCGTTCGAGAAGTTCTTACCTGACTGTCTGGCCATTTTTCAATTGGGTTCTGCCTGCCACACTCGCATTTCGAGTTTGCCATAGTCGGAAGAGGGGAAACTCGAAGACCACAGTCGTGCTTGTTTGTGCGGGTAACAGGTGTGTGATGGCGTGCTTAGGGATGTGTGCAAAGGATGATAAATCTCTATTCGTAGATAACTGCATGTAGTTAGGGACGCTAATGGTAAATTGTTTGGATAGGCATGAGTCGCTACTGTTTGTCCAAGTTTGAATCGAATAGTCATCCATGGTTGTAGTCTGCACACCACCGCTACTCCGCCTGGCCAATGCTCACACAAATTGAAGCCGGTACTAGCAGTGATAATTATTTAGACTGCGTGGAAACTAGACACATTGAACTTCCTTTGTAATCTGAACTTCTCGTAGTAACACTGAGAACGTCATTGTCGTAGCATTCGGTCGATCAGTTGCTACTTCTGTTCATGCTGTTTTATCTCCTCGTGGTTCGCTGTCTCGCAAGCTACAAAAACTGACAAGCTTGGAAACTGCAAATTTTGACAAAGACGCGGACTAGTTTGAACAGGCCTTACAAAAACACTGGACGCTCGTGCGTGAGTCGCGTGGACCTTGTATGAGGGGGAGCTTGTTTAAGTGGCAGGCTGGTGTTCATGCGTCCGCGCGTTGCACTTCAGCCAGGGCAGTTGTTGCCATGGTGGCCTCAACTGTTGCTGTAGCAACCGCAACAAAATTCACGTAATGAATTAGTGGAATTGCAAATCGGTATCAGTTTTGCTACTCGAGCGTGGCTGGTCGGAGTGTCGTCTCCTCATGTGGTCGGTCGAACAGTTCAGTCAGGCTCCAAGTTTATTTCAAAGCTCTTGCGCACAAACACCTTGGCATCACCGAGTTTTTTGGTCCTACATCTGAACGACGGAGCTAGTGGCTATACAGTCAACATTGGTTAGAAATATCTAAAGGCTAAAGATGTTTTGGAATCGTAGACTAATTTCCACACCTTTTGCTCAGATATCTCGAGTTGACGGCCTTTAGTTGGTGAGTCGAGTTTTGAATTTCGCTGACACTAATTTACCCGCTTAGGCAAGTTTTATTTGATGGTAGTCACGTCTAACCCAGGAATCTTTGCACAAAATCATTACACAAATAAGTCAAATAGCTTTGATGTAAGCCGTTTACTTCCGTTTTCCTTCCTCGTTTCTGCACGTGGTTTCAAAGTTCAAGTGAAGCGCTAACTTCGTGCCAAAAAGCTTTTTTAATGTCTTTGATTTGGCACAGTTAATGCCCAGTTTTTGAATGGGCCCTGAAATAATTGGTTAGTCAGTCCATGTGTTTGTTCTTCTAAAGGTGTCGTGTTTGGATTTGCTACTGGATTACAGATTTGGAGTTATTGTTTATTTCTGAAGAACCGTGAATTACTTCCACTGCTCGCATTTGAAGATCACTCTGCCGTGAACGTCATCTACACTTATGGAATCATCTGCAAATCACAACAAAATTCCTTTTATTACAGGTATTTTGACGTCATACTGCCCATTTGGACTTAGTAAAACGAAGGCTTAAGAGGCGGCAATCGGAGCTTGATATTTAGATCCCAGACCACTATTTAGAATATTTTTTGACTTTTTCAAACGTCCAGTTCTGCAGAGAAGTGAAACTGATCTGTAGCCCATCAATTATCCCTTTAAATTTGCATAACGTAGCAAACACATCATTGACTAAGACACAGTTGGACCCACTTGACCGAATAAATAGACATGAATTGCATTGCGTTTGCACACAGGTCGACTGACATCAAGTCGGATGGCATTGCGATTAAACATAGCAAACTCATCTGCATGGTCCTTGAGTACCAACTAGAATTGGATACTCAACCGGTTGCTTCACCGGAGATTTACGAGGAAAAATTCTCGAAATGCATTTGTAGCCATGGGTTTAATGACGTGACACAACATACTTATTCAAGAATGCCAAATTTAACGTGTATCCAACGTTCCCAAAAAATAATGCAATCTGTTACAATTACCTACCTGATTCGTTGGGTCCAAGACTCGTGTCTCATGAAGTCGGTCCCATTAGAGAATTTGCCACGTCTCTGCAATTGTTCACTTTTGACTTCATGAGTGACGTGTACTCTGAGTACCGATCTCCAAATCTTGGTAATCAGGCATTGTGGCAGAGTATGCATCCCGGTGCTCGAAAATATGCCGCCGTAGTAACGTAACTCCATGCCCTGCGTGAACTAGGCCGATTCGCAATATGTGTTGGTGCATCTTCAATCGTTGTTGATTTTTCGTGGCACTAGGTCATGTTTCCTGCATGCCTGTTTGCGATAAACTCCGATTAAATGTTTTCGCTCCCTTCGATACATCAGCATTCACCTTGAACGACCTCTTTATTGTCTTAAAGGAAGTTTTTTTCTACTTTTTGATTAATTACGTGGCCAACATCATGAAATCATACGTAGCAAATCCAATATCTGCTATTGAGTCTAATCAGACAACCATTCACAATGTTGGCAGCCACTGTGGCTTGTAACACTCATAATGATAAAGTGATTACTCATGAGACTCAAATTAGCCCTGTCTATTAAAACACCTTTAAGTTAACTCTTCATTAAATCCGTTGTAAGATAACTTTAAAATATGTTTACCGTGATGTCCAAGTTTCTTTGCCTTGGTTACCTGATCTTAAAGTTATTTTGGTGTTTCTGATCCAATGTATGTAATGTGAATATGAAGCACTAGTAACAGGCGGTTTCGATGAGGTGAACCTGTTTAAACACCGGCAGAACGCAGCGGCTGACAACTACTTGTCTAAACTTGTCAACACACACAACCTAGTGACTTCTCTAAATTTTGGCCCCAATTCCGGAATGTTTTACAACATTTTTGGACCATGCCTTCACAGCCAGCTCACAATGATGCCTGAATGCAATTACTTTGCTGTTACTTTCATCTACGGGGCTACTTCAATTTAGGGGTTCGCCATTTTGGCTCGTTTCGTCATTGACTGTTTTGAAGGCACAGAGTTAAATTGGGGAACTATTTGGGCTAAGATCTTCCGCCTAAGCATACTTCTCCACTTTGTTGCAATTCCTCTAGCACTCTGTATTTACGATTTGCATGTCCTTAATATCTTAGCAGAACAGTATTAAGTACCCAGGTAACACCCAGGGTTAAATCATACATGAATCAAAGTCTACCCTCGAATATGAGGCTGTTTAGACCCCAGTGACTAAATTCAACAATTCACACCGCTTTCGGTCGGTACAGGTTACGCGCCTTAAAAATTCCTGCTGCTTCTGCTTTCCAGATACTTCAAGCAAGTGGACTGCAACGGCGTGCTGCCTTAAGGAACATGATAACAGGTGTCTGCTTGTTAAGACGCGTTGTAGCGCATAGTATAGTAATGAGCTGTTTACGGCCGTGCTACTGTTCAAGGAACATATGACTAATTCACGTGTCTCGTTTCGAGACCAAAACTAGGCCTTCTTTCTACGGCCAAACAACTCGACGGAGGGCCCAGACACGTGGGCCACATTTTAACTGCATCAGACATGTATGGATTTCTCTGTCGACCACTTCACGCCTAGGCCACTTTTTTCAGTAGTCTCAGTGGTTTCCATGTTATCATTCGCATACTGGCAACTAGCATGAATCGTCTTCTTGATATTATGCACCTTTTAAGTGCTCCCATTTTCGGTAGATAGATAGATAGATAGATAAATAGATGGTATGTTTGACACGTGTTTGTATCTTCTGACAGCGAATGTGTGTCGTGTGACAAAGCTTGCACTACTATCAGAAAATCAAAATTAATCCGCATAACTCAAAAGTAAGGCTGTAAGTTAATGGTGGGATCGATAGTTTTTGATCAGATAGGGTACTGTTATACTCTCATACAATCTAAGGTAAAATAGAACTACTTTGGGAAAGCGTAGATAGATGTGAGCGTAGTCCTCTACTAACCATGATCTTGGTGAACTTAAGTGTTCCAAAGCTTGCAGATACACAAAACTCAACCATGCGGTCGAAGGCGTCTGAAATTACTTAACTTTGATTAACCGGGATGCAACTGTCCCTCGCGGTGACCTCAAAATTAATTATTTTTAAACTATTCATTTTTAAATGCTAATTGCTATGACGTGGAAGAAATAGTACTACTGATGAGGCTGCCAGTTTCGTGGTGGGTTGGCTCACAGGTCACTGCAATTACTAAAGTATGCATGAACAATGAAAGGAGTCATGTGCAAATACAGGAAAGTATATGGCAATTGCTTTAACTATGTCAGAGAAGCTGATTATCGAGTGATCTTTCTCGTGATTGACAGCCCGCGTAGTCCAAGTTCCTTTACGAGGGCTCTACAAAGAAAGCAACACGTGACACAAGACCAGGAACCAGCGGAGAGAGTGTCTGTGACCCAGGTATGCATCCGGGCTTCATGACATTTAACAAAAGCATGTCTACTGGAGGGTGGATAAACCTCTTCACTTAAGAATCTTGCTTAATTCACAGGAAATTAATAGTACTCAATCACTACGGCATGGAGACAACATTGAGCGGTATTATCTCCTAATTTTTCCAGCCACTGGGTTAGCGTTTCCCGCTTAAAGCTAACATGACGTGGCTAGAAAACAGGCCTAGCAATTATAATATACATTCGAGGCATGTTTTATCATCAGCTAAGTTTTGAGTTGGCGTTTAATCTCCGGTGGCTATATCTCACCTGGAGCAGTCTAAGATACACAAACATCGGCCAAAACGCCCCTTTCCACCACTATCCAGGCCAGGATGGACAAAAGTTGGGGGTATGCAATTGGTCATACTAGCTGACCAATTGAGTAAAAAGTTGGCGCGTGCACAAGTACTGAATGCACGCGCACTCACGTGCTCATTCGCGTCCGTGCGCGCCTCTTGAGGCTACTCACACAGCTCATAAGCACGACGGGCTACCCTTTCTTACTCATAATTCCGGCTGCATTATGACCACGTCGTTTTCTAGGGCGATTAACTGCGACAATCTTTGGCGTCCATGGTACATTATCCTGGTGACCTGTTTGCAAGTCTTTATGCTCTACTCCGGGATTGCCCGCTACATTGCCTTCAAGGGGCACTTTTTTGATCCAAAGTACGGGGGTAATTGGAATCCAGCAGCAATGAATTTCTGCCTCGTGATGTTAATCACAGCTGGTTTTTTTGTGTGCCTTTTCATCTACACCAGCTTGACTCGTGGATCAAACCTTGCAGGCGAGGGAGTTACCCTGGGGCAGGAATTGATTGTCTACTCTTCTGGCCCGTTTCCTTGGCCCCAGCAACCCCATTCTCAACAGGACGGAAGTAACGCTGGTCTGTATGCCACGGCGAATGGAGTTCTTGGAAGGGGCAACTTGAGTGCTGGTCTAGGTGTTTTGGGAGAGGAAGACGGAGTGCCGCCTTTCGATACGTGGTCCGCTCGGAGTGCGGGTCACATTCCGCCCAGTGAATTTGCGACCTATCCTGGGCCCCCACCGATGTTTAGATCAGTGACTTCAACCACGGCACCGACTGCCATCGGACGGAAGGGACGTTGGCTTTCTCTAAGTATCCTATGGAAGCGGTTCATGCGGCGATTTATTCCGATGTCTAGTCTCATGCATGTACTTTCTGCCTACGCATTCTTCCTTCCGTTACCGGTTCTTGAAGCCCAGCTTATTCTCCATCATGCACTTCCTCCTGGTAAGCTAATTCTAGGCTTTAGTGTGCCGGTTTTCGAAGATTGCATTTAAACCGTCTTCAGTTAATGTTATCAACGTTCTATCTATTCTATGTGCCATGGCAGTTCAGGCTCTGGTGTTCAAGTACTTTTTGAATAGTAAACGAATATTTCCGAACCTGTTCCAATGAGTTTAGCCAGCGAGTAACTGAAGAGTATTTCCGGCCTTGCATGACTCACGGTTAGTGAATAACATTGTTTGGATAAAACTGCAAGTATTAGACTGCTATTTTCAGAAGTTGCTGTTTATAAGTCATTTCTGTTAATTCTGGCATTTTGCCCAACCCTCTGCCTAAATGATATCAGAGGGCAGTAACCCGTTTTATTTAAATAGGAGCGGCTCCAATCTTTTAGCGAGTTAAATCCCCGTTGAAAGGCTCAAATAATAATAAAACTCCACCCTTAGATTTTTTCTTCAAACTTTCAGTCACTGGGAAAAAAATCCGGAGAGTTGCGTTTATCGTTGGTGCAGGATGATTCCTTCGTTTAAGGTTTGCTTTCAGCCCATGTTTACCCAATTGTATGTTAGAGACGCATCCGAGTCGTGTTGCATTCTTCGAAATGAATAGAAATAATAAAACAGACATTGAAATGTCTTAGTGATGGTGGTCGAATGTATTTTGTAAAAACAGAAATCTCTGTTTTCATGTAATGATTTTTGTGTAACAAAACATCAGATTTAGAAAATTTATATTAATTCGCAGATCAATTTGTTTATCGAAATTCATGCTGCTGTCGGGGCTTCGAGTTTTATCACTTCGGGCTTTTGTGGCAATGCCGTTCCACTTTCTCACACTCACTCAGTCTTAGAATAAAAGGTTAAAGCTGTTAACTCTCTATATCAGTTATTGAGGTAATTAATAGCTGTTAGGCGCTGTGCTCTAGTTGATTCGGGTTTAAAGGTGGCCGGTAGGCGTAGTTTTCATCATATTTCACCTCGTGCACAATAGCCAGAGGGGGGCGGTTAAGTGGTCACAGGTCACGTGGCCCTGTACAACAATATTTGCATGTTCTGTGTTGTTAAAATTGAATTCAAACAGAAGTAGTGTGGGAGATTACCAAATATTGAATGTGTACGTGGGCTGGCTGTATCTAGTCCGGGTGGTGATCGGTATATTATACCTTCAACTTAAGGCAGTAACTGCTGTATAAGACTGGAAAACAGGGATGAGTTTCCTCGGTGGGGAGTTGAGATAGGTGCAAGCTTATTCATTGATTGTCTGATTTCAATAGCACACTATAATTTTGCTTATCTTATTAAATTCATGGTGTTGGATAGAGGAAGGTGGTATTCGGGGAACCATCACTAAGACTGTTTTTTAAATCTACTTCTGAAAATGCCATAGCAAAAAATTTTATCAGCTACCTCCATTGGCATTTCTAGACTATTCATGCACTTAAATTTTGTCTACTTCCCATTCATCCGGTGATGAAGTCCATGTGTAAACAGATTCAAAATGGCACAATTTAATTGAAATCTGTCAGTTATTGAATACGTAGGTCACTTGATTGTGGGATGTTTTTTCCTGACTAGCGTTTTTAATTCCAACGTTTTCTAATTCTAGACTGGTTACAATGTTGAAAGAGGGCACTATGAGTATTTTCGGAAAATCAATAAGCCATTCTATATGTCACCCATGTTTTTGATGTTGGATATTCAGATGGTGTTTGAATAGCAGGAGTCGTACAAACCAAAGCTTCCGAAGGCCGTTCAAGTATTACCAAACCTACGATTTATATTCTCACCCGATGGCGTTTAATGCTGGGCCATAGAAACTTAACTATTCTCTTTCATGCACGAAATCAGTCGTCCATAGTCCACTAACAAAGCGATATACCAAACATTTATATGAGCATATGGCGTTTGCGTAATAAATCCTTAATTAATATTGTTTTAGGTCAGTATTTAATTTAGTCAATTAGTGACCAAACATGGTGCTCTAGCTAAGCCCTTAAAATGGGATATGCAACTTAAATTTATGTGATTCAGGTAGTAGGGCAGATGTGTCAGGAGTTATTCACGATGACTGTGTCACTCCTGTAGGCATTTTTGCGACCCACACAAAACTAAGGGCTTTTAGCCACAGAAAGTCAGGAAGTGTAGAATATTACTAAAAGGCGACGCCCACCAAAACGCAACCGTAGTAAAAACGTATTTTCGCCTAGATACTTCCGAAGAAAACAGCAGTAGAAGCAGGAAATACTAGAGCAGACTCTCTGGTACAAAACGGAACACTTGGTACTCGTTCAGATCTCATCATATATTCATGGCTTTGTGCATTTTACACTCAGACTGGCAAGTCAGTTATGAGGGACAAGAAAAGAAGGCTAACTACCTACGGTACAGATATTCAAGAGCAGTATGCCAGAGGGCGGTCGTAATCAGATAGAAGATTTTAGTCCATTTCATTCGCGATAAGTCTGATTAATTGGTTGACCTAATGGATGCCGGGTGGCAGAAAGTAGTACCACTTTGAGCAACTTGCCAGAGTACTGGGTTTTGATTCCAGTCTTGTTTAGTGTCACTCTCAGTAAAGAGGTGTCGTAGTGTGAACCAACGCGTCTCCCTTTGGGACAGATTTTTTATATCAGTTTAGAAGAAATGAGGAGAACAAAACTGTTCAGATACAAATTTTCAGGTGTGCGAATCTGTCCAGATCTCATCAACATAAATTAATCAGCAAACAGTTTCCCGGTCTGTTGCAGCAGATGAACTCAGTGACTAAAATACTAGTTTTACGCCTATGCACTTCAAGGGTCTTTGTTTTGATGCAAAATGACTACTATTCCGGCAGATACAACTTAAAGCTTCCTGAACTGTTAAAGTCAACGACATTTGAGGACACGAACAAGTTGAGATTGGACCAAGCAGTTCGGGAAACGGTTTATTGTCTTTTAAATTACTAAGCGATTGGATTCAAGTTGTATAAGGTAGGAGTAGTGTACTCGTTTAGCGTAGGTGGCGGTTGTCATTGTTCCACTTGTTTGATTAAAATTTTGCAATTGTGCGTGTGTTTTGCGAAAATGTTTAATTTGTATTGAGAATACGCCTTCCTTCTGTTTAAATACACAAAAAAATTATTAAACTGATGTGATTTGCAGCCAGATTGGAACATTTCGGGCCAATCAGAGTCACACATCGGCCGTTTGTCATACTTCCTCATATTGCAGTAATTTATGTTTTGGGAGTTCCGCCCCAATGCCGCCGTTTTCTTTTTTCCCGTGGAATATATGCATCACTGAGTTGCGACAAGGATCGTGTGCTTATCACCCAAAATTGGTAAGGCATTCGCAAAGAAAAAGGAGCATTTTTAATGCTGCCGGTGGCAACTTGCTTTTTCAGGATCAGGTTGTTAAACAATTTCTTTCACGTTCGTCTTATACAAAAGTGCTGTGGGGGTTATAGATGCAACTCAGCACAATAATCTGAGTTCAGATGGTCTGGCTTGAAGGTGTATGTCGGTCATGATTTCTGTGGTAATACAAGGGGTGCAAGGGGCAGGCGGGCATTATGGAACGTATGTTCTCATGCACTTATCTCTACGCTCTTGCAAACACGAGGTGGGGGTCCTGAACCACGAAGATTAGTGCAAAATCTGTCAGCACAGAAAGGAAGAAAGCTTGTGTTGTTCACTGAACCAGACAGTATCAACTACTCCATCAGGAAAGCGAACCAGAGGAACCATTTTTCCAGTCTTTTATCAGTAAACGACTCGTCCACAGGTCCCCTGATCTTTACTGTTCACAGGACCCCTGAGGTGGTTCTGTGAGTGTACATTTGTACCAGCCGTAATATCCGATGTAACATCACATAACTTAAGTAATTATCTCCGCGCAGATTCAGCAGATTTCAGCGAGCCAGCAACGCGAACTAAATCGTTGAGTAGAAAAACTCATGTCCCTTTGTCTGTATTGGTTAATATGTCTTCAAACATTTTTAATGCTAAAATATTCGATCTGCTTGATTAGAACAAAACGAAAGTTTGTCGTCTGTATCTTGCTGCGTGCTTCCACGCTATGCAGTGAATGACTACAAAATCCTTGCCGTTTCTGTTTTTATGAGGGGCAGCTTACGGACTTGACTGCTGAACCGTTCCCCCCGCAGTCTCCAATGCATGAATTTCGCTCATTACGTTGACAGTAATGTCGATCCTTGCTGTTTCTATTTCGTCAGACATGACCAGCCGCACGTTTTAAAATGAAGCTCTATGACTCCGGTTCTTGTCTGATGAATCGAATCACGTAAAAGCGTGCTTCAATTTTGCGTGGGACATATTTAGATCTTATGCCTTCCAGCTTGGCTCTATTATTTAGTTGAGTGACCAATGGTGGGTAATTTTTGTCGTTGTCGTGTGTTCCCGAAGCAAATCGATGGAGCAAATTATGTAGGATCGTCATATTCTGGATTTCTTTTGTTGTTTACGCCTCAACAGAGATTCTAACAATCATTCTGGTAGTCTTAACATGGAGATAGTTTTAACGTGATAACCTTTTACTTCCATTAACTTGTTCGGAACGATTTCGAAACACTGAACATACGTGTCGTGGTATAGAAAAGGATGTAGTATTTAATTAATAGTCATTGCCTGACCAAACCGGGAAATGTTATGAATTTTTGAGAAGTGCTTCCTTTGGAATAACTTTGTTAAATTTTGGAAAAAGCAGGGCATGGAGGAAATTTATTCTCATTTCTTCTCGTTTGTGAACTTCATCGATTCATGCATATTGTTTTCCTATTCGCATGTACGCCGAACGTCGGTGAATCTGTTCATTTCAAGGTGCTTGGTGTCCAGCGTTTTTCAATAAATGGGAAGGAAGCTGCGGCATAATGTATACTGAATTGCTTTTCATGAACTCCACAAACAAGTCTTCGTCAAGCTACGTATACTTCGTCTTTCGCCCGAAATGTGACTTGTGGTAGATTTTGTTTCCATTGGCACATCGTTACAAGAATAGCGCATCTGAGCTATTGGTTGAGGCCATAATGATGATCTCGCACTAAAGGTTGTAAATATTTGTTATCTTGGCTACGACTCTAGTTGGATGGGTTTGTAAAATGCAAATCTCCTAAATATATTTTTTATTAATTTTTTTGTTTTTGTCAAAGCGTGTTCGATGAACAATGGACTTTGTTATGGGCTTTGTGTTTATCACGATGCTTAGGTTGGTGCCTGACTCATCAAAAGTCCATCGCCTTTTCTTGTTGTGCCACACGATGTCCTGACTTCACATTCTTTTAGTTGCCGCGTCCATTTATTTCACCAATACAAACCACATTGCTGTTATCAATCCCATTGGCTAGTTGTTTAAAAGTATATTCGAGGTGTCTTGGCTTCAGATGTTGGAGATTTGTGCTCCGTGTCGAGACCACTTTTATGACGAGCCGCTCCAAGAAACGCCTTGGCCAAGATTTCTGAGAGTCTCTTCAATAAACTAAACTTGAGCGCGATATTTGTGAGGCGTCGAAATATTGCCAACCCTCAAGGTGCACACACCACTCACTGTCAGTTTGTAAATTTATTGAAAGTTATCCCCTTCATTTTGCACTAGCTTTCAAGTTCATAGTGTTTGAGTTTTAGCATTGGCAAGCGAGTTGTGAATGTTCCCGAGTAATGATACCAGTTGAGAAAACGGTCTAGCGAAAATTCCTAGCAGCAACAGTTGAACACGTTAAACTTCATCTGCCTAATCACTCGTTGGATTCAAGAAAAACTTGTCTCTTCCATCTAGAGGGCCAACGCCGTGGAGTCCATGTGCACATCCAGACGAAAATGTCTTTTTGAGTGCACTTGTGAATATTGCTAATTGCTTGCTAGCATGGCTAAACATCTCAGCATGGATTGCCAGAAACATTTCGGGGCATTTCGGGATGTTTTTATCACAAATGACCATTGGACTCGTATCTGCGAGTCTTGTTTCCGCAGCTTTTTGTGGACCCAAAACCAAGGGCTTTGGTGCATGTGCACATGTGACATGTCATATTAGGTGGCAGAGTTAAATACACGTTTGGATAACGAATTTGATTTAGCAGTACCGTATGCTGGCCTTCGTCAGCTCTTTATGTTTTGGGGAACCCCAATCTCCGTAGATCACCCGAGCCTTCCCTATTCACTAACTAACCTTATGTAACTGGCTAACCTCTACGCAAATTTCAACTACTTGTAACAAGGTTAGGCGCCAGTAACATCAGCATGATTTAAAGATGCCGAAGTCGTTAAACACTACTTTGAATGCTGACCATGAAGCACTATAGTAATTTCATCAAAATGCAATGCCAAGGAAAACGATTGCCATTAAATTTTCACTGCCAGGCCTACTCCGAGGGAGTATAGATGTTAAATACAGTCTAGGTTGTTTTTAATCGAGTAACTAACATTTCTCACAATGAGAATGTTGTGCTTCAAGGCAAGATTTTATTTTCTATAGAAAATGTTTGGAAAAGCAATCTCAATCCAATTCTGCCCTTAACACCAGCTAATGCAATGTCGGTGGAGTTCTTCAATCTACTCTTTGCATTCGCCGCCTTAGCTCTCCGTTATCCCGCAGTCTTTTGGCGAACCAACCGTGCTTTTGCGTTCACCTTCTCTCTCTTGCTCACCCTTCTCGGAGTACACGGACTTCTAGAAGTGAACTCGGCTGAATTGCTTGTCAAAATTTGTTGGAATAATAAGGATCTCGCTTCCTCGCTAGCAGGGCTATGTCAGGTCGCAGAAGAAGGAAAAACGAAATCGAGTCTTAAAGAAAATCTGGCGCCGGCACTTTTTGAAAAACCTGCAGACGATCCCGAGGGACTTCGAAACGCCTTGGCACTATTCCTTTCCACATTCGGCACTCTCGCGATGCTGTTCCTCTCATACAGTGTGTTCGACTTCGGCATTGAACAGTTTGCTGACAGGATCTCTACACTGAGACGAAGCGCGATATTCGGCCCCCCTTCTCAAGATGTCGTCCCATCTGACGCAGCGTCGATCCAAGGTGGAGTCGGCGGCACGTGCGGCTTGAAGTCGACGCAACAAAGAAGTAAACGAAGGGCGACGATTGTACGACGGTTTGTAGCCGTGACAGGGGCCTTTTGTGCCCTCACGATAAAGATGACCATCTTGGTGGCCTGTGGACGGGTCTTCGAAGTCAGTCGGAGGCCGCTGCTGCTGGCAAATATCGTCGCGACCATCGCTTTCTTCAGCGTCTGGTTTATTACCTGGTTTGCATTCTGTCTCAAACCTGAGTGGAAATTCAAGGTAAGTTATGCTTGGACCGTGAATGGTACCGTTGGATACTATGCATAAAAGTAGTGGATTTGTTGGCAAATTGTACTATCGAGCATATAGCAGGGTTTTATCGTATTATTAGGATCCAGCGAACCTAACGATGTAGTCCTCGTGTACTAAAAGCGTCATTCTCAAACAGACCCATAGAGAAAGTTAAACGTCCAGAGAGTATACCCTAGCGTGAAGTCTTGAATGGGACTTAAGGTGGATATTTCAAAATAAGAATTCTACAAGCGTGTTTTCACATCAGCAATATTTGCAACATAACCCCTAAAAGTTGGACTAACACGAACGTGTGCGTACAGGTCACGTCATTTATCACACCACAACGCAAATACCTCAGGTGGCACTTTTAAGGGAAATGATTTATATACTCATGAAGTGAATTTTATTATATTTCTTCTGCACCTTGATTTGACCGCCACTGTTGTGGTCTCAGAAAATCTAACGTGAACGATCTCGTATTTACGAGTCCACATTCTGGCATTGGAAACATCAATGCTCATTGTAGACACGAGCTTATTTGCAAGTACGATGTCTTATGCTGCTAATAAATCATCCTAGTAATAGGTCCGGAATTAAATCTAACTCAATTCATGCAGTAACACGCTCACGAGGTGCCTGACCTCCGACACCTACAACAGTGTCCTTGATGGTCGTTTAAAGTGACAATCAAGTAGCGTAAACAAGTGTTGAAACTAACAGTTTAACCGTTTCCTGTGACGGTCAGTGAACTGCCACTGTCTTATAGCACAAGGAATTTATTTGAATCGTTGGTGCTACGTTTACAATAGTAATACTTCACATAATTGGGCCTACGAGATGTAAGACTGTAGTTATTCATACCTAAAACCCAACCGGGACATTCTTTGAAGCACATTCAGTCAGTATATCCTAGCTGAGTTGACTTGAAGTATTAAAAGCAGAAGTAGCTTTATGGGAGCTCAAATCTAGTTTTTTATTCATGGACCTGCTCGCTTCCCGCAATTTTCAGACACTGAATTGGTGTATTTTTGCCGGGTCCCTATGCACAAAGTTTTTATTGTACTTGGAAGGCAAGTCGTAAGAAGCGCGACTGACAATAGTTTTGAGTTATTTTCAAGATGCCGTGGGTTAAGATCATTTCATTGCGAGCCTTCCGTGAAGCGGGTCATCGTTGAGGGTCAGGCCTTCAAGGTCTGGCCCCAGTAAAGACTCACCTCACGTATGATGGCCTAACCTAACCTAATTGGATGCCACGTTTCCGGCTTGGTTCTTTGCGCACGGTGACCGCGATTTTTTCCAAATCGGCCAAAATTTTTCTGTTTAAATAACCCAATTTCCAGGGTACCCCTTTGCCAACTTACACTAAATACATGAGGTTGTCCCTCAGCAGGTAGAAGGCTCTACACATGTGATCACTTAGGTAAACGATATTAGACTTCTAGTTGAGAAGTGAAAATCCCTCGCCAAATTGCCTGCTGAAATGGACACGCCTTTGTTGAAGCCCCTGCCAATCCACACTGGTGTTCGTGTTTGCGTGCTGCGCCATAAACACGCGCGCATACCGGTTTGAGCATGAGAGCCTCTCCATTGGCGTGGGGTGTCGGGCGCTGTCCGGCGTCTCCCCTGCACGGTCCACGATGACGCATTCCGTTGCGTTTGTGCGCATGGGGCCATTTCGGCCATGTTCAAGCCCAACTATGAAATCGCAAGCAGGGCTGCATTTTGGCTACAATGAATCTGCTGGGTTTCGATCTCCCTCATGGCGGCGGACTCCATCCGAAAGCGTTTCAACATACGTTGTGTTGTGGGTGTGCAATCATTGATTTCGCAAATGCTAAAGCTACAGTTCTAGACAGGTTAAAGTCGAGTGATTATGGTCGATAATTGGGTAATTTGGTAAATTAGGCGTAACCAAGTACGTGGTGTGAAATGCATGTACACGGTAATCGACAGCACACAATAACGCTTGCAGCATAATTTCGCTCTCTAGAATAAGCCCCGAATTCCACGAAAGTCTAAAGAATCTAGCCCTTTTATGGTCTTTTACCCACCCACCAAATATAATTCTGATAAAGTCAGTCAAAAGCGCTATTCTGCAAACGTACTTTCCCTTTGGCTAAATTCAAATGCACAGTCTGTTTGGTCCCTAGTTTTTTTAGCGAAGACCGTTTCATTCCACTTCCCCTTCTTCCTGAAACAAAATTCGTTCTTTTCAACCCTTTTTTACCTAGGAGCATGTTGTTTCCTGACGAGAATGCATATTTTAATGTGTAGTATATATTAAAATCAACTAAAAGAGGGACGGAAGCTGCTTGTTCTGTTTTTTTTTCACATTATTCGTCTATCTAATTTATCCTACGGATTCAAGTTGAATGAAATTTTAGATTATCCAAAAGGTAGCAGTTGTCTCGATAAACGTAATGCTTTATTAATCAGCTGCTTCCTTTTTTCATACGTTCTTAGAATTTATTTTTTCGTCAGTGGGTAGAAGTTCTGTAAAATTCAATCTGATCTCATTCAAATGTAACTGATTTTATGTCATATACGTCCTAAACTCCCCAATAAGTAGTAATTTTTGGTCAAAACCAAGTAATGATACCATGATTTGATTTTGTGTCCTACATAGTCTAGGTTTTCGAATGTTTATCTGCTCTACACGGGGATCTCTATTTAATGGGAGAGAATTGATCACTTGGGTTTGGGATGGTTTGTTTGGGTAGCCATTCTGTGCACTTTGATTTTACAATGCAACATTGGTTATCTGGTTGGTAAGAAGTACGGGCGTGGGATATCCCTTTAAGGTTTCTAAACTGTCACCGTAAGTCGTTGACCTTTAAGGCATGACCACGGTTCGCATACTGGATGTTTTGAGTTTCACATTTTTCCTAATTATTTGCCCATTGTCAAAAAGGGTTTGTTGTACTGTTTCACAAACAGACAAGACCGAATATAAAATCTTGGCTGCTTGAGCTGATTGTTCGATTCGTGTGCAAGCCACTATTGACGTTGTAACCCTTTTCTATGCTCTTCGGATGATTTTCATTTGCATGCGTCCCGTTCTCTATTCGCAAAGATAATATTGTAGGGGTATCGCCTCTAACCCGCGCCGGGAATGCTATAGTCAGTAAGTTCAAAAGGCTTGCTTACTGCTTCATAATATCTACAACGAGTCATATGTGTATGGTTTAATTTACGCTACTGTCATTAGACTTGATGCTAATACCGCATGCAGCCGTGGCCGTGATAGTACCCGGTTTAGCGTTTACATAACAGCCTTCGTCTCCTCAGCCAACATCTTTGTACAAGATGTCCTTAAACCCAACTATTTTTGACTCCTGTGTAGATATTAAGAATCAAATTTCTAGATCAGATACTTACGTTGTTTTGGCTTCCCGTGTGAATAGCTCGTGTACGTTGCGAGGCATAAAAATTTCACTGTTGACACAGACTGGATTTCCCTTTTAATGCTCACATATAAATATCGAATCCAAGAGCTTGTCGATTTCAATCATGGCTTGCATGCAAATATCTTTGCCCAAAAAACGAATTCTAATTAGAGTAAGTGGCCTCCCTTTTGGGAATTCAATTGAGACCTTTTCTGTTAGGATCTTTATCATAACAAGACGCCAAGCCATTAGCAGTCGTGCCAAAATGTCTGTGGAGATTTGGACTGTTGTTGTGACGTTTTCGTAAGCTCAATTGCCTTATGTAGTGTGGCTTGGGGTGTTTGGAGGTCGTGAAACTCTGTGGTCCGCGGTTTTTGTTGGTCAATTGTTTCTGTTACTGAGGCGAATCGTCATCTAAAATACTGGCAGTCTCAGCACATCCGAATCAGATGCCCGTTTACATTTCACATACAATCAAACGTGTGTACTGCTTTAGTTTCAAGCCGATGGATATGCCGGTCAGTGGTGGCGTGCTTCGTTACTCGGGACATTGAAGATCGTTGTACGATTCTTCTGACAAACTATGACTGGAGGTCATGCATTGAAAGGTATTCAAAAGGCTCTGAATCGGTGCGACTAGGACTGTATAATTGACGGCTGTTCAAGGAACTGTAATTTTTTAGGCGGAAGAAAACTCCGGCGTTTACGTTGTAATTTCCAATGCAAGTTATTACAATGTCAACTGAACGATTGCTCACCTTAAGAATATGGGTAAAACTTTAATGGGTTGGCTTATTACTTATATAGTTAAATCACATAATTTGAAGTCGCGAGTTTTGAGCAAACTGTAAAACGCGTCAATTTTCGTGTTTTTCGTATTCAATGTATGAATAAGTGTTGCATCATGAAAATACTTCAGCAACCAGGTAAGTCCAAATGCCACTTTATTCGGTGCAGGGATCCATCGTAAGTACATTTTCTGATACAAAACTGGTTAGTGTCTTGACCACCTGCAACGCCTGTATGGTTTATTTCAGGTGACCTATTCTCCTTCATTCCATCCGATGGCCGCTCATTCCACGGGCATAACCAGTAACTACTTATCCCACTCCGCGACCTTAGCCCGTCTAGAAGGTCGAGGTGGGAGTGGTGGTGGTGGTGGAGGCAATTTGCTGGCCACGTTTTCTGCCCCCGGGGCAAATCGAGTTCAACAGGATGGTGGTGCTCCAGGTGCCACGGGGACTGGGTCTCGTCTCACCTCCGGGAGCCCTGTCTACGCCTGCTTTCATGATGCCGCAGCGGGGGGAGGACCGTGCCGACTCGCCAGTGTGATGCCGCCACCTCCACCTGCTGGCCAGTCAACAAGATCGGAGAGAACCGTGCAGCAGAACACTGACTGCTGCAGCGTTGATACAGAGGGGAGTAGTCGCCAAAGTGGTGAGTGTTGAATACGTTTTTTCTTTCAGCTTAACTAGGTCACTGTCAAAGATGACAGGCGTAGAGGACCAAACACGGCTAGCTACATGTCTCAATTGGGTAGAAAATTAGGCAATGTCATTTCGGTGACCAAATCGGGTATTTTTGCTGATTCGTACTTATGGGAACCGTTTGAGGACCCTCTCAGCTGTGTTTATCCAGGTAACATGTTTCACGTAATGTAAAACCTTGTCGATTCAACGAGGAGCCATCGTACTTTTATAGATTGATCTTGGTTTTGCAACCTCATACACAGTTGCAATATTTGATTTGTTGAGTTTGGTTTGCAGGTGGCTGGTCGGTTGAGTTCTAGTTTGCGGTTGTTTTCACTTGGATTTCAGGTACCAACAATTACGTGTGCCTACAAAGCTCCCTGAATGCCACAAACTTACTTGGAATAAACGCATTGCGCGACGGAACGATGCCCCAGTCCCAATCATTGGCAAACGGGAATCAAGTTACCGTGACACATTTTGATCAACAGACTCCTGGACCGGCATCACAAGACAGCACAGATCCCTTAAGTACGTGAGACGTTTTACTCCTTCGGGACGACGCTAATCGATTCTCACTAAATGAACTCTTGGTAGGCTTTATTTGTAATAAAACTATTGTAATTACGGGAAAATAAATAATTATTCGCGTATTAAGGACTCGTGACCCACTCTATAAGTTTGAGAAATGATTAGATATTAAAATGAGGGGAAAGACCTTATAGGTTACAACTAAACGGCTTATAACGTTTCTATGGGGTGAGTTGAGTAGAAATAACGATATTCTCGTTAAAAATAAAGGCTGTAAAGTAAATTAAAAGATGATATAATTTTGAAGGCCACTAAATGCTTAGCAAGTGGAGTATTACGTTTACAGGCACAATAGTTAAATTGCTAACCTGTTTTAGGTGTATTGCGTTATGCCTTACGTTCAAGTGAACTTTTACCTCCTGCGAGCCTCAGTTTTATGAATGCTGGCTCCTCCTTTACCGCCCAGGGATGTGGTGAAGCTGATGCAGGTCACCTTATAGTTGAGAATGTTCATGAGCCACCAAGCATTCAACGTCAGTCCTCTTCAGAACAGACCGCCGCAAAAATCGATGACTCGAAGCAAACCCAGCTACGAGTCACCTTCAAGGGCTTGGTAGAAACTATGAAAAGCTCACCTAATATAAGTGAAGCCAGTTCATCATCGAATCCCAATTCTTCTAGCGACAGTGGAATCGATAACCACGGTCCACCAGCGGCCACCACCACAACCACTGCGAATACAGGTTCCCTGTTTTCCACCTTGCCGAGTGCGTCTCGAACAAGTCTTAACCTCCCATTCAGAGGTGGAACGAGGAACCTGACAGCCGAGCCAACCTACTGCAACCAGGAGCAAATGTCCTCTTCGTCTACTTCAACTCCACGATTATTTGAGTGCCCTAGTATGCCACCTCTGAACCTGCCGCAAAATGAGGCCGGGGAAGTCTCTTTTGCTAGCTTGTCGCGCAGATTCAATCTAAGGACAACATCATTTCAACTACCATCACCATCGCCAGATCCTGGAGACGCACCTGCAGGAGGCGAACAACCGATGAGTCGCTCCGTCATAATCGGGCGAGACGAAAGAGTAAGTGTGGGGCGACTGTGTAGCCGAGTATAGGGGAAATTGCCCGACTTTTCACCCCGCCTTAACTGTCACTTATCAGTGCATTTTACGTGCCATTCTGTACATTTTAACAACGGTGACAAATCAATCTAAAGTTGTTATACGCATACTCACATGTGTGTATTATCTTTATTTTCATCCAACTACAAATTTTTATCATTATGAAATACAATGTGTAATGTCAGATGAACAGGGCTTAATGCGTTTTCGATTGATTGAATAAACAAGTTTTAAAATATCCTTTTTCGAAGTTGCTACATCTCGTGTTCCTAACATTGATTGAATCAGGCGCAAACCATTTTGTTTTAACACAACTAAATTGATATCCAGTTATTGACATGGTTGATTACCGTATTTTGTCTGTAAACACAACATTGCACCTTAAATTGCATTTAGTTTGTGTTTGTTGTGACAATTGCCGTAATTCAAATTTAAAATATTTATTTTTGAAATACTAGGTATAAATCGGCGAAATTGAAGGGTGCTGCTGAAGGAAATCAGGTGGAAAAGTATACCGTACTCGCAGCTTGACCAAGTTATTTTTATTTTTTTCAAAATTAAAGTTGTGCTGATATAAGCAGTAATTCTAGAAGTATAGAACAATTGCCAGCAGATTAATAGGGTGACCAATTCTAATCTGAGGTCCGGGGGAAACAGCCGTTAAACCAGATTGATTTCAATAAATAGGTTTGCTTACTGAAGTATCTCACATTCTGATATCAAAATGGCCGTCCCTGTTGTAAGCGATTTCGGATTACTTGACATTGGTCTCCTCATACAACTAAACCCGCTGAGACAAGCCACGTCGAAAGCAGCAAATGCAGATCGAAGCACACCAAAAATGAAGAAATTTTACGATGGGTAGGTGTTGCCGTAAACCGATGCACACCAGCTAACAATACATATAGAGCAGAAAAATGTTCGAAAGTATATCATACTGAGTTGGATGGTACCGCTGATCACTATGTGAACATGGCCAAAACATGAAGAACAGAGTAACGTTGAATGCCGCACCCCTCGCTTATCGGGGTTCCTTATAACGAATAAAGGAAGAAAACTGAATGACATCGCAAATACTCTGCTAAATATTTTCCCACACACGATTTCCTTATGCATTTCAATTTTCTGTTATTTCACCCAGGGTTGCTGCACCGGTTAATGGCACCAAATTTATCTTAATTGAAAAACGTAGTGCAGTCGCAGATATCAAACGATTTATGCGACCCTCGACATTTCAGCAACGCACAAATCCCGGCCTATATTCCGTCCTGCCTCATTTATTTCCTTAAAGTAGTTCCTATATGAATAAATGTTTGATTAAATGCAAATACAACCTGCAGTAAGGCATGGCTGAAGTGCAAAAACAATAGATTTGCAGATATGTCCCATGATGAATTTCAACATACAACGCTGAAGCTGGCTGTTAAATATAATAGTAGTTAATTTTTTTTTGTATTTGCCATAAGTATCAGTCATTGATTTCAATTATACTTCAAGTAGTTACTAGATAACCAGAGGAATTTGTTGGCGGGCATCCATATTGATACGCAAATGTATGACGTGTAGTAAATCCAGAATTGCCGGACTTGTAGCTCACATTGCTACCTAGTTTGTCATAAAGTTCTTTAGGGATTTGAAAACGTTTATACTAGAGAAGACATAGGATATGAAATTGTCCATAAGTTGACGTTTTTAAGATTCGAAAAATTAGGGCTGCAACGATTACCTCCATACTTTAAAAAGTGGTTAAAAAGATCATTAAAAATAGGAATTAAATTTGCATTTTGTGCCAGAAAATTATTGTACGTTCATTAGCAGCAAGCGTCGACTTCCTTCACCGTTGATTTGTAACACCTTGTCCCTGTTAGACGCAGTTAATTAAACAACTCGACACATTAACCACAACTTGCAAACTGGAAGATATTTATATTTCTAGTTTGTGGACACACATCTGAATTGTATCTTATTCAAATCACTTTCTTAGTTGTGAACCTTGGGTATCAACAATTGCTACGGCTGGGAACTAAATAAATCGCAAAGAATACGCATTTTGATGAAGTGAAGCAGTAAGGTCGGACCTGAAACAGTATTGCACATATGTCATCACCAAAAAATGCAAAGACAGAGTTTAAAGCTACAGAATAAGACATCGATACTATGGTACCTGATTTTTCGAATTCAGAAAACATTAAATACAAATAAATTGTGGCATAGACTTTGAATCTTGTGAATTATGAATCAATGCCAAAATGCGAAAACCTACTAAAAAAGGTAATTTCAAGAACATCTCAAAGGATTCAAAGAAGCAGAATGGAGGAAAATGTCTTATACATTAAAAACAAATTAGAGTCAGATTAAATCTGGAGCTTAAACCAATATTATAAGGTTTTTTCACATGTAATTTATGGTTTCAAGATGAAAAGCCTTGTTAATTTTTTTTAGAACATACCGCGCATTAAAATCTCGAGAGATTTAAAAAAATTACTTTAAAGGAGAAATGTGGTTTTAGTGCGCAAGCACCAAGCGCGCTATTTACTTTATTTGGCAAATGTAATTGATTCTGACTTTGAGATTGTAGATGCATACAGTATCTGATGAATCCTTGTCCTTTACAGAAGAAGAAGCCATACGGTTGAGTGAACTTGACAGGTTGGAATTTGGCCTTTTTCGGTTACATAATTTTCATGTCAACAGTATAATTTGCTTTGAGTAATACTGAAAATCTTAAATAGTACCTAATTTTGTTGTCTCTGCCAGTTTTCTGCATCTACAGATGCTATTTTTACTTAATACACGGTACTAAAAGTTTCGTGTTGTCTTGTGAGGTAGTTATATTTTCATGTAAATCGTAGTCACCCGGAATTACACGTGCTAACAATCATGCCTTCATCAGTTGTCTTTTTGCTCTCCAAGTCTTTGATGGTGTCTCGTACTCCCGACAAAAAGTCACTCATGATTTGTACAGCTTATTTTATTGTGGTCAGTGGACTCTATATCGGGAATTAATTTAGTTATTTTCACGCTTGGTTGTTGTTCACCAGTCTAACTGTTTATCTTGCCTACTTTTTATAAAGAAACTAAAGACTAAGAAATCGACTAAAGCGGGTTTATATGCACCGAAGGCTGTTTAAAAATGCCAGCGGATCAGCCGCTGATTAGACACTGGGGCATGGTGGTAGATTAGGCTATTCAGCTAGTGTGTGTTCGGGAATGCTGTCGTTCACGGTATAACGTAGAGACGACAATTGGGCCTGTCGTATGTATGTCACCAGGCCTTGACAGAGTATATTTATTTTGTTATTGAGTTAATTCCGAAAGCTGGTTTCTATTTCGTGAATGTCAGTGAAATTCAATGTATATTTGTTTCTATGGTCATACATATTTTTCAGGTTCTAGTGTAGTGGTCTTTCGTAATTTTCGTGTTATATAACAAATAAAGTGAAGTATTCCGTTTTGCTACCTTCAATTTGCATCTTTACGAATTTCGATGGTCGTGAAAAATTAGGCTAAATAATACCACTAAATGACTTATGCATTTCAATTTGGTACTCTTTTGCAGTCTTGAATTCGGCTTCCTTCGACTTGATGCCAACGAAAATCGGCAATTATTAGAAAGAACGGTTTTCTATTTGGATAGCATTATTGCACGTAAAGTGTACAAACTTGAAGAGGCCAGAGCAAAGGAAGAACACGATGAACTCCTAGCCATTGACGCAACCCAAGGTCTTGGTCCTAGCCCGGCTGAAATAAGACTCAAAATTTATCGTAAATACACCCGATTGCTTGATGAAAACGTTCCACCTTTGATCTATCTTTTGCTTGGCCATTATCAACTTCTCCTCAACCTTTACGATGATGCCTTGTCTGCATATACAAAGTATGAATCACTAGCCGATGAGAAGAGTCGACGGAACGTGTCTTTCCTTTACGGTCTTGCATTGTGTTGTTTTCATTTTGGTGCATTTAATCGGTACAACACTTTCGAATGATAACCCCAACTCATCTAGTGCTATTCTCTTGTTTCAACAAATTCTCTATCTTCAACCAAATTTTGTCCGTCGGAAAGAGGTTCATATTCGTCTTGGCTACATTTACAAACTGAGGAAAGACCTAGAGAAAAGTCTCAGGCATTTCCGCCAGGCCCTGCGTGATGAAAGTCCTAGTACATGGAGACCTGTCGAAAGTAGGTCCTATTTGAGTTATTTTAAGGTCTCCATTAGTCCAGTTCCAGATAGGTCACTTACTTGAAGTATGCGGCCGTATTAAGCAAGCCAAGGCTACATATGAGCAGATCCTCGAGAATTCTCAGCCAGACGCTGCAGCTCACGTTCAACATCTTTGCTTACGGCAGCTTGGTATGATTCCAAAATTTCACGAATCTCTTCAATTTAGCCTGGGTTTATCAAACTGGGGGCAGCAGCCATATTGCAGGAAAGGGAGATGTTGGCTTAAATTCGACGGCTAATAAAGAACTAGCTATTCAACTTCTGCAGAAGGCTGTTGATTTGGATAACTCGAATGGAAAAACATGGTATCTTTTGGGTCGCTGTCAGGCTGCTGTAAATCGGGTACAAGAGGCCTTTCGAGCATACCGCAGTTCCATTGATAAGACTGAAGCGAGCGCAGATACTTGGTACGTTGCACGATACCCATACATGTTTATCTCGCTTTTATATTTTTACATTAAGACTAATTTAACGCTTGTTAATGTTGTTGTAAGACTCGCGTTCGAGCGGGTTGAGTTTGAGACATTTCTTAGATTTTCTTTGCTTGTATTAATTTTTGAAATATTACTTTTAAATCGAAATTTTCCGTGAATGTACAGTCTATTTGGCTAAGTGCTTATGCATGTACGTGTTAAGATCCCGAAGTAATTCTTGATGGAACACTATTTTAGGTGTTCGATTGGCGTCTTATATCAAGAACAGAATCAGCCCATGGACGCCCTACAGGCCTACTTTTGCGCTGTGCAACTAGACAAGTGTCACGTCACCGCATGGGTCAACTTGGGCACCCTTTACGAAAGCATGCATCAGTTTAAGGAGGCGGTCAAATGTTACACAAACGCCGTTAATGCCGATAAACGGGAATCGGTACGTTTTGATTTTCGGCTATGCTGCACTTTATTATATCACCAGGGAATTCTCGTATATTTTGTAATTGGACCTTCTTCTCCTAAAGTAGGCAGGTTTTTATTCTTTCAGATTAAACCGCAAGTGAAGAATCGTTTAGCGACGCTACAGCAGCTCCTTCCACGCCTTCCTGAAAAGGTTTTGGCGGCTTGTGGTGGTGGAGGAGATACCAGTCTGGTCAATACTAGTGGAACCAACCCTCCTGCACAGACGAAACTTCCAACTGTGGATGACGCGTGGGACTTACCTATTCCATCGGAATTGACCCAAAGGCAGGTGCAACTTATGCTACAGGAGGCTAATCGTTCGCAGTGCTCTGCGTTTTCCAACAGTGGCAACCACTGGGCCACATTGATCAGTAGTAGTGCTCTAAAGCTGGAAGAAGAGAATGCGGATCCGAGTGATGGTGAGGAGTTATCTGCTAACCATCCTCATTATTTTTTACCGTCTTCTAATTAACCTGGTTATCATGGATTGCCAGTTTTAGATTTTTCTTTTTCTCATGGGCTGGTTTTCATCGCCAGCCTCTTAGGAATATCATTCGTTCCAAGGTAGATAAGTAGGTTCTGTTTTTGGACCATCTCCTGTATTTTAAATCGGCGGCTGCAGCATCATGCAACATAGAGTTGGGCGAGAGAACAAGCCAGCATTCAGAAAGTACTTTTTCCCACAAAGTGATGCATTCTGCACAAAAGTAGCTTCTCGTGCCACTTAGAATCAGCTGAGTTATGCCTTTCAAATGCGATTTACTGTAGCCCCACCTCCCAGCGTAACTTTGTCCTCACTGTTTGTGTTGATATCTGGTACCGTCAAACTTGCGTTGCTATTAATGCACCGCTACCACGAATCTCCCCAGGACTTATTCCAGAGCACCCTGTTACGTCGTATATACCACTTTGTTGAATCTTGCTAATTCATTGAAACTTAAGCAATCAGTGAGAAAACGGGAGAGAGGGATGCGTCCGCTTGTCCATCAGTCAGATCTTATTATTATTATTATTATTGAATCATTAGAAGTTACGTGGCTTTTGGAGACTGGTAGAAGGTGAAAATGGCCAAAAACGAGGGATTTTAAGTGGTCAGCAAAAATCGCGTTAATTGACTACCGAGCACTTTTGTGCAATAATGGAGCACAAGTATGCTCAACTGACAATACATCAGTTGGATGTCTGCTGTTCATCTTGGAATGTTTCGCAAATGATGACCAATTAAAGTATCCTTTTGTTTGCCCACTTTAGATACACTGGTGAACTGCGATTTGCCGTCAGCGCCTAAGCAACCTAAAGTGGAGGAAGAAGAGTGTAAAGAACGTTTATCTACAATCCCATCACCCCCTAGCTCGCCACCCTCCGTAGAAGAGGTCAGCACGCTATACACTCTCCTGGTGAGTCGCCTCAACTCCAGCTAAATCGAATCCAAGACATTCAGAAAAGACGTTTGTGGGTACAGTTTTGTCCGAAAGTAGTTCATAACATCGTAAACTAGGCGCTCTAATCCCCTAAATATTTCTCCAATTGGAGATTTTCCACGAATTTAACAGATTTTTATGCACGACCCTTTATAAATTCAACTCAGTCGATTGCGGCCTCTTCATCTATCTATGTATGAGAGCGCGCATATTTATGTCATTGAATTTCAGGCAACTCTGTACATTGGAGTGAGCTTGTAATTGTTGGTCAAATACAGAGTTTACATAATAAATACCTTACTAAAAAAGTATTGGTCGAAGAAGGAAGTACCTCTTTAAATTGACAGAGCAACAGTGCACCTGCGGAGCCGGATCTTGTATAAATGAAATTACAGTAGTTTGCAGTTTTTTCGTGTTGGGTTAGACGTGAGATAATGTGAGAGAGCCTGACACTGCAGCTTGAAGGGAATCACCTAGGGTGGGTTAGGTAAATTCGTGTTTTGTACACGGTAACCCAGGACTTGGTTTTATCATTTTTCAAGCCCTCTGGTAATCAGAAGTGGTGTTAGAACTTAGGATGAGTTGAGTTGTATTACGTTGGCTGTTTTCGGGCTATCTAGCTTATTTGTCAACGACGACGACGTTGTTTCCAGCGTTAATTTCTATTCATTGCTCACAACGAGTGATCGCAGAAGGGCACTGTTGTGGTTGAAAATGTTAACAAAAAATGTCACAGCATACGTCCACATTCTCGCAGGTCTCCGCTTTTGAATTTTAGCGGGTATTCTGGGCTTCGTGGGGACTCACACTCTCCACGTTTTCAAGATCTTTTTGTACGTGTGTAGTTAAAACGGGTTGTGGGTGTCAAACGTTTTGAGCAAAAGTGTTGCATTTTTAATTTCTCGTAAATTTTGACATGTAGTTGCTTTTAGTGTGTGGTTTGGTGATTTTTTGGTAGCTTTCATTGTGTAGTTTAAAGGTAAAATGAAGCGATTAGTTGTGTACTAGAGGTTATTCAAGTTTTCTGATCGAATGTGCGACATCCGTTCCAGATTTTACCGTGATGTGAGTCTAATAACGCTAGTGATATCTGCTTTGTCTGCACTTTAAATCGAAAGTAGATGGCGAGTCGTGGGTTTTATATGATTTGATTCATATTTTAGGATCAAGGAAATGATATATCAGCTAGTCAACGCCGTCAGTTCCAGCACATACACACGAAAGCCCTTAACTACCTTTTGTACAAAAAGCGTCACCCTGAAAATATCACACCTTTGACAGAGGACCCATTTGTCTGCGCAAGTCGCCACATTTTTAAGAATCAGACCAGTACCGCTTCCTCATCAGAAGACGCTGACGGTTCTTCGGCTACAAATGCCTCCAATTCAAGACCTGGTGTTCCCACTGCTCTAGTTTGTGATGCTTCACCGAAAGACAACGCTGAAAAGACGAGCATCGCTGTCGGCCAACAGCAACAAGAAGAGGCTACTGTTGCTGAGTTGTTCTCAGCGGCTGCGAATGAGGGCAGTCTGGGCGCCGACCCACTGCCTGATGACGAGTTCGCCCTACTCAGTGATGATCTCTTTGCTCAGGTAGACAGCTACTGTGTTATTGACAGTTAATAGTTATGATCCTATTATTTTTGCCTTTTGGCGTTTAGTATGTAGATTCGTGATGCGCTACAGAGCATCAAAACACAATTGTATCTCTACTCGGGAAGGTCTCTTCCAGTGTCTTAAATTACCCACAATGCACGATTAGCACTCTATTAACTTCCATACCATGACCTTACGCAAATTAACATACATTGATTAATTTTTTAGGAAAATAACCTGAACCCCAACAATTAGCTGCTGTACTTGAGACAGCCAACTGGCTAAATACTTCAGTGAACCTTGGACATAATGGACTAGTAATTGCGATTTTTCGTCACCTTAACCACATGTCCTATTCCTGTCCTGTGCTAATTTTCATATCCGATAAATTCTTATCATAGTCTCCGTTTAAATCAGCATTCACCAGATTACTTTGAGGTGTTCTAGTAGTTGTGTTTACACGTCCCTTGTGAAGATAAGATTTTAATCCGTTTCAGAGTCGATTCACATTTGGGACTATTCAACTGACCCGTCACTATCAATCTACAAATCAAATCTCAAAAAAAACATTCTATATTTTGAGTGTCCCCCCACCATATTTTATAGGTTCATAAAGTTTTAAAATGAGCCAAACATCACACTTTCATCAATATTGTCATGTTTCGTGACCTCAGTCTGCACCGGAAGTCAAAGCCTTTAAATTGTTGTGGCATTTCCATGTCCTTATTATTGACCTGACCAATTAATTTATTAATAATTTGCAGCTGAACGGAACAGGTGATGATCTGGAGGACATTGCTCTCTTCCAAAATCCTACTTCTGGCAGTGGAGGGGGCGACGGTGATTGTGTCGGGGCCACTAATGTGGGTCCGTCCGATCGAAACCCGCCGCCTCCTCTGGGGGACACAAAGTGCCCTGGTAATGAAGCACAAGGTGGTCCCACGCAGATGAAACGTGAAAGTGGTTCAGCTGGACAAGACCAAAGCGAGCCTTCGGCAAGTGGCCCCTCGCCACCCAAACCCTCCACTCCGGCCAAACTTGTGAGGAATTTGCAGGCCTTTTTGACCAAGCCACTTGTTCTTCCGAGAAGTCCAACTGCTGGATTGGATGTCTCTATGACTTCTAAAGAGGTATCCAGTCACGTCCGTTGTTTGTGGTGTTGTGATTTTGTAGGCTCTCGAATCCAAGATCTTGTGTTTTCATTTTAGATTCTGGATGCAATCTCTGGTATCGGTCGCCTTGGCGGCCCATGGTGGAATAGTTTGCTTCCAGAAGGCAGTCCTCTGCCTTGTCCACCTGAAAAGCCTTTCCCTTCGTGTCCGGCTGACAAACTCCTACCACCCACACCTAGCGTTTATCTTGATAAGCGAAAAGATGCAGTGTCGCCGGATTTGGCTCGTTTCTGTCTTTCACAACCCGTCGTGGTTGTTCGTGGGCTGGCTGCAGCTCTTCGAATGGACCTAGGTCTTTTCTCGACAAAGTCTCTTGTAGAGGCCAATCCTAGTCAGCGAATTGAGGTATTAACACTTTTGCTTGATCCTCGTGCTCTTCTTTGGAATACGTTACAGAATAACTTGGGCATGATTCCTTGTGGTAGAAAAGGTATTAGATGTGGGTGTACCAAAAGCGACTGCGCTTGTTCAGGAAAACGCAGCACTTATCTGTATGAGGTCATTTCACATTTGCATTGCTCCTCTGGACGGCCTTATCTGTGGGAAGGTGGCTCTCTTTGACCCCAGACCAATCCTGATTATCCATATTTTATCTACTATTATGTCATTAGTTTAGTGCTCTTGGTCAATTTAGTAGGAAAAAATCACTCGTATGGGTCCAACTTCAGACATCAAAGTGGGCGGAACAAAAGTCCCTAGTGAAATTATTTTAAAGTATGCTACAAATATTTGCATTAGGAAGAGCATTAGTGTTGTGGAACACTGACGGAACTCCTCGGACATTTTTCACTCAACATTATCGTTAATTACACTTTAAAAAACCACTGCAACAAGCCGTTTTCAGTCTACTTTTCATCTAACATGTCTGCTGTGCCACCTATATTGAAAAAACCTAAAATTGGGACGAAATTCTCAAAAGACGTGCCAACCAAACTTTTTGGGGTCTGGTGTTGCAAAAATATCAACAACTTCCTCACAATTCATTTCGAATTTAGCCATAACTTCGATGTTTGCTGCTTCCATTCAAATAACAAAGCTGTTATCCCATTAAGGAAGAGCATTGAGCCTTTGCAGATGCCATTTTCTTAGCAATTTCAATTATCAGTGAAGCAGAGGCTTCTTTTAACAAAGTGTCATTTTTGTGCTAGGTTTCAAGTGACTCAATGAAGCTCCTTGTAAATACCATGTGTTGCCACCGAAGCTTTAAATTCAGAAGAAAGTGTTATTTCTTTACCCTTAATGCTAAACGAGGTAGATGCTGGCATCTTTCATCATTAAGCACTTATAGGTTATATTGTTATCTGTTGTGAACCTTTACGTTCCGATCGAAGGTCTAGTGGTTGTGGTTCCCTTTTTAAAGTTATAATTGCACACAAGAATATCGTTTCCATTGCATTGGGGTGGTAATATGTTGGACCGAGTAAACATAGACGCACTTATCTCTACCCCATTATATTTCTTTAGATTCGCACCCAACCAGCAAACATAGGAGAAAAGAGTCGTTTCTCGTCCGTGTCTCCTGTATCTTTGGGAGAGCAGAGTCCCTGGTATCTAGAGTCACCGCGCTCTCAGACAACGATTTTTCGCTATGCCAGGTATCAGGCCGCGTCGTTTAAGGAGGCGTTGAGAGAGGAGAAACAGGGAGTCACCCACCACAACTCTCCCTCTGCCGTCGCTAGATCTCCCTCCGTTGGAAGTGCAGATTTTACCTCACCAGGTAAGCCATTCGAAGCAATCGAAATTAACACGCAGTGTATGGGCAATGTCTTTTAAAGCCACCGGAATTCATGAAATGCCAATGTTCACGCTAAATCCGTCCCGACACGTAGAGCTTTGGTTTAGTCGGTGGTGTAGATTTACGATTTCCTGTTTCTTTTTCAGGTGCGGAAAGAGACTCAACTGTCTACAACAAAGGGTATGTCACTCAGTGTGGTTTTTTTACTGAAAAACTCATTTGTAATTGTAGTTCCAAGGAGCAAGCACCAAACATGAAAGTATGGCAGTAGCGGTCCTTTTTTCTTTCCGACAATGTGTCTATAAGAAATGCTCCTGCGAAAAGATTTTGGACCACGCCAAACGTAACATTGACATTTTTGTGACTGCTGCACTTGTCTCTTTCGATGTGACGTGACTCTCAGGAAAAAACTGAGTCGTCTGGAAATTGATTTATAGCGAGTAGATGTATACTTTCACCTTGAGTTGAGTCAGTCCAGGTGCAAGGGTCCCTTGAAAGCTTGCCCATCACTTTGAAGACCCGTTAAGTCGCAGTTTGGTGGGTGAGTCTTGTTTGGCAAATCTCGATCTTGTTAGTTCCAACTAGTCTATTTGAGGTTAGGCGGAATAATACCTCATCGTGGATGCGGACTCACTCGATGAAGACAAGTGGTCACATCGCTGCAAACCCAACAAAAGCCTCATAACCGTGGGACGCTACCACGTCATCATCCTAATCAGTTCTTAATTTGAATAATCACGTTTTACTTCTATGTTGCTTCATGCTGAAATTGGAGCTAAAGTACGCGTTGGTCATGTCCTATTCGTACACTGTTGAATTATGCGCGTTATGAATTTCCACAATCACGTTTACGATAGACCTCACAAACGCAATATAAACCACTAAAATTTCCTTTTGTGGATCCTACTGGCTTTCTTCATTGTAACCTTAGTAATCGGAATGGCTGACCAAATCTGGAGAGTTAATTTTCAGTTTACCTTTATTTAGGATGTCGAATTGCGGCGACCCGATGCAGCGGACTCCAAAGGTATCACCGAATGGAAAAGCCGGAGCCACTGCTGCTGCATCTTCGACGCCACGGACTAAAGTCATTCGATTCGGGACTAACTGTGATCTTTCAGATGAAGAAAAGTGGCTCCCACAGCTCCACGAGCTGACCAAACTTCCCACCTTCGTAAAGGTTGTGTCAGCCGCAAATATGCTCTCCCATGTTGGATATCCCCTTCCTGGTGTAAACACCGTTCAATTATACATGAAGGAAAGTGCTCGATTTGGCCGAATTTGTTTGTTTAACCCACTTTTATCACCCTCACCTTCATCGCCAATAGTGTGAAAGACCCATTATTTCCAAACTCGGAGTATGTCACATCAGGGCTTTTCGACATGCTGATTTTTGTGAAAACTTATTACGTAGTCCTTTGTAAAGAGCAAATTGTTTTTCCTTCATTCAGCAAACTTGAATCGATATTCGTGCTTTACGCCAATCGTGCATCCTTGGGCCCAAAGGCTTGTCCCCAAGCGTACCATTTCCAAACTCCTTAGACCTAACACCGTAGATTACACATAATGGTTCCTTCGAGTACCTTAAGGCACCACCTTCTTCTGAAAATTAATGAACTGATTATTCATACTACAGATCCCTGGTTCGAAGACACCTGGCCACCAAGAAAGTAACAACTTCTGTTCAGTTAACATCAATATCGGTCCAGGCGACTGTGAATGGTTCGCTGTTCCCGAGGCTTATTGGGGCGCGATGCACCGACTAACGGAGCGACACGGACTTAACTTTCTCACCGGGTCTTGGTGGCCGGACCTAGAGGAGCTGCGTCACGAGGGCATACCAGTGTACCGGTTCCTGCAAAAGCCCGGTGATCTAGTCTGGGTAAACGCAGGGACCGTTCACTGGGTTCAGGCCGTTGGATGGTGCAATAACATCGCCTGGAACGTCGGCCCGCTGACGGCGAGGCAGTATCAATTAGCTGTTGATAGGTTCGAGTATAATCGGTTAATGAACGTCAAATCCGTCGTCCCCATGATCCATCTCTCCTGGCAAATTGCCAAAAATGTCAAAGTGGGGGACGCCCACCTGTACGAATTAATTAGGTTAGTTGCACTTTTCTATCCACTTTCGTCGCAAGGCGATTTGGGAATTTCTGGTTTGAATCAGAATATTTAATGTCTTTGCTAAGTTTTTTATGTGACCATTTCAATACCAGCGTTTATTTTTGAGAATTCTGTCAAGCCCTCCCACAAATGTAGTTGTCATCGGAAATGAAACGCTTGATCCGCATTTACTTCCCGTCTCCAGCACTACTTACTGTCCCCACAAACCGTGTTTCCACCATATTATTTGCCAAAACACCCGGTGTACAATTTATTTTTACCCGGCAAAAACAAACTTACTTAATTGTTGAATTTAACCCAATTTTAGTAGTTATAAGTTGCTACATCGTGGTGTTTTTGCGGCTTTGGTTGGTGAAATTCCTCGATTTTTCTGGTAGCTGATGCATCTTTATTACTGAAACCAGCGAAATTGTTATGAAACACTGTCCCAATTACTTTGGATCGGGATTCAAAGCTGGAAATTTAAATTGCTAAGAGAGTTTTGTGAACCGCCATGTATGCCATGGTTCAGGTGTACAGAATCCGTCAATTATTGCTGGATTGTGGGCCCACTTGGTGCCTTGTGCCGGTCAGCGTTGGTCTCATTTTCCCCATGTTTGCTGATCGTCACCAGCGCCTCGGGTTTGGTCGTGTAGTTTGTGGTGAGCAGCACGCGAACGAACATGATTCAATTGACTTACGTGAATGAACTTCACCTAACTATGTTCGTTCAGGGATCGACGTTTAGCAAGGCTAAATAAACGCGTACTTGTTATCTTGTGCACACACACAAACACGGCTGCGTCAATAAATTAGTTGAGCTACGAGCCGTTCGCATCTTCTGTTCTTTCGGTCGTGCCTTGTCAATGTAGATTGTCGGCCCACCACAAGTTCAAGTTAATCCAGTCCGACCACGTCGATTTCCATGTGCTGGTTGTTCTTTTTTCGACCCCCATTTCCATGCTCGCTGATGAGTTGCCCTAGTAGTTCCTTTTAAGTCATTTAAGTAACGATTTGTAGGGGTTCTACAAAATAATACCCTGTTCCACCGCCAAGCGTCAAGTGCGGGAAATTTACCTTATGCATTAGTAATAAGTTCACACTTGCTAATTTACCCACTGCTTATTTCAATTTCCGTATTTGCCTTTAACGTGTACTCCTCAACAGAAATATGTGACTAGCAAAATAGGAAAGGTTTAGGTATTGAATAGACACAAAAACTTATTGACGTTATAGACACACACTCCTTCGCACCATGGTGAATTCTCAGTTGACACTGGACTTTTTGGAACAGCTCGATGTCTCAGTCAAGCGGCATGGTAAAAAACCGGATGACATTGCTCACTCATGTCAGGATTGCGATGTAAGTCTTCAAAAGTGGACTTGTGAAGCGCCTTTTTCTACAAGCCAAAGTAGTAGACTTCAGACACATGTCTTGTAATGGTTCGCAATGTTTTATGGTTGATTGTTTTCTAAATATGAGACACAAAAGCTCCCAGTCTCGGCCACTTGGAAATTTTGAAACCTGAGTTATTGTTGAAAGAACTTGTCTCAGATACTGTTCATTTTAAACCATTAGTTGGAGCTCGTGGTGTTTTCTAGGCTATCTTGCGCTGTGAGTGCAGCCGGAGCCAGTGATTTAATTCTTGGCCCAATCGTGTGATGTGGGATTACTCATACTGACAATAATTTCCTCTTTGTTTCTCTAGATTGAAGTTTTTAATTTGCTGTTCGTGACGACACAGGAAAAGAAATCCGAGGTGCGGTGTTTGGCCTGTGCTCGGCGGAGTGACCCCACTCTCCGTTCATTTACCGTACTCTCCGAGTACTATATGCACGAATTGGCACTCATATACGATAACTTCCAATTACAGACGGTGAGTTTGCGCGGTTTTTCTAATCTTTCTTTAAGTTCCCGATAAAATCGATTTCACCCAAAAGAATAACAGCCACCTAGGAACGAATGTCAGTGGGGCGGACGCCTGTTAAACGCGGCCCAACATTAATCCAAGTGTCCCAACCTATCAAAGTCGGAAGAAAATTACTCAATACATAAACCCTAAATTAAACAACTGTTGGACATCGCTTTGAATTTACAAAAACAATTTGCTGCCACGCACTTTAAACTAGATTCGTGAAAGGAATCGGTCAGTTCGGTTTATTTGACGAGGCACCAGTAGTATAGGGTTGCAAATACAATTCTTTTTCGTAAAGCTGCGCAAGAACCGGTTCGTAGATTGCTAATAAAGCGATTCCCACAACGAACTGTTGATGTACATCCTTTACTATCTTTTCAGCAACCAATCGCGGCTTACTCGGTGGCGAAGTAGCTTCTCTGTGCCACGTACACCCGGTACTAAAGCGTCGAAGTTGGTTTTGGCGGTACCTGGTACCACACTTTAGGTGTTACTTTACATAACAGGTTTTATCTCCCTCTCATTTTTTACACTGAATAAATACCCACTTTATGACTTCACGTTCTTTGAGTGCTAGCAAAGCTTGTGCTGATGGGAGACAAGTTTGTCCGTGGTATAAGTGTGACTTAACGGAAATCACTATCAATATCAAAGCGAAATCGCGAGACCGTGAATACGACACACACGTGTGCAGGGGTGGCGGGAAATCAGGCTGCATATAAAACAATGGCTCCAGCTTAACAGCTTGACGGTTTGCTAATGGGCACTTGACGAAATTCAATGTAAACTCCTTGCCTGTTTTAGCCTGCGTCACATTTTACAAAGACCATAGGTACCCACGCAATCGACAAAATGCTAATTTTTTAAACCAAATTCTAGTATGCATAAAAAAACAAAGTATCAATTTGATGAGAGGCTGGTAGTCTTCAATCCCACTTCTCTTTGGTGTCTCTCCTAACTAGTTCCGCACAGGTGGGTGATACCGTTTCCATCCATTGAGCGTGCCAGTCCTTGCTGACTTGTTTCAGTTTACGTAGGTTTCTTCGACATCGGACTAGATCCGGGGAGTCGCCGACCCCCTCAAAGTCCTCTTTGGGCATCAGAAGGTGAATTAATTGGTTGGCAAGGCCTTCCGCCGTGGAGAAGTGGTAGCCCAGTTGACCATGGGGAAGAAGTTCAGAAAGAGCTGGGTATGTCAATGCAAGAACTGGTACCTCGGCTCCGATTAAATCCACAACCTAAAAGACTTTATTCCTGTATGAAGTCATCGAAAATAACCGCGCTTACATTTCAAACCTAATAAACTGTGCTGGGTGTTAGCACTGTGGTACAACGTTACCATCTTAAACAATGACCACAAATAAGGCTAGTACCACTAGCAAGAAAAGAAAGGTATAGTACGAGATGGCATCAGAAAAGCGTGATACTCAAGCATCATCTCAGTGTTCATGTACATAACCGTTTCCTGGACGAAAATATTCACAAACAATGGTGGCCGAATCTCTCCTTATTGTCAACTGGGTATTAATATCTAAGCAAATTATAGCATAATTTCACAACCTGGATTTTAATGCGCACGTAGTTTGCTCGGCGAAATTAAGCTTTCGAGTGGCAAAAAAGAGGGTACAATTTGTGATTCAAACAACGGACGCTACTCACTAAACGAAACTCCGCGAGGTAATGTCTTTGAACCCTTCAAGGGTGTAGCTTACCTTCATCGGCAGATCAAGATTTGAGGTGCTTCGATGTAGGCTGACACCCAAATCAGCAGACCCCAGCAGGAGCGGATAGTCCGTCCATTCTAGCCATGGTGTCAAGACGACCACGTGTTTCCAGTCCTTTTTCCGCAGTACCTCCTGGAAATGGGGTTTCATTGGTCCGCGGCCTATACGTGCGGTTTAGAACCCCAGAATTGTTAATAGGTTTAAAAAGCATTGAAAAACAACATCGTAGCATAGCTTCAGAGAAGGCCAATTTCTCAAAATCAGGTAATCGATGTTCCAGCACATTTAACTATCAAAAATTAGGCTTCCGCTTTGCACGCGTACAGCCGAGGCTACTCGTGGAACAAATATATGGTTCACTTTCAAACTGCCATGGCTTCACTTAGGATGGTAAGATTGCCGAAACCAAATTCGCCAACTCGGATCAACCTATTCTGAATTCTGGGTAAAAGTTTTGTATTTGGTAGCATGCTCAAGTATTTCCAAATGCCGAAAACTGTTAGAATCATCTGTGAAAAGTGGAAATTCTAGCAATGAATGCGCACTCCCTCGCGGTGTATTGGCAGAGGCACTTTCGAAAATGAAGACGCATTTGGAGTCAAAAATAAAAGAATGCAAGGGAATTGTCGTTTCCTAAACATTCGGAATAAGGCGCGTCCGTTTAAACCAACCACATCTTAATTTAGTTTCTATGATTTGCCATAAAACAAAAAAGTCCAAGATTTTACAGGTGAGGAAGCCAGGTAAGGGTCTAATTCATAATGACGTGAGTGCCTAACAGATTGGTTGTGAAATATCAGAAAGAGCGGTTATTAAACTAAATTAAAGTCCCACAAAGTAATGCCAAATACACAATCTGCTTATTGACACATGACATCAAGAATACACCTCAGAGGGTGCAGGCCTACATGGCTAAATTATAAGGACGGTAGACCGAGAGCCGGTTGAGATGGCACGTCTAACCCGTCTTCCGTAGCCGCAAAACATGGTGACCTAAGATCCTTAAAAACAAGAAGATATACTATGTGTGCATTTACAAGTTTTGATATTCACTTACCGGTAACAACGCATACGAGTTTATGGAAGTGGATGTTTGGTGAAGAGGCAACAGCGGCGTTGTAAATGTCTAATGCATCCACCATGACGGTGAAATCATCATCTGGGGTCCAGGAACAGCCGCTGACAACAAGGGCTGGTCTATCGACACGCCACCTACAGGCGCCGGATGACTCGTCGTACACTTCCGTAAAAATCGTACTTTGCGCTGCCCCATCAAGGCCACCGAGTTGGGGATAGGTGAGTGACAAACTGTTCAGACAACAAAAATTTAATTTTAGTGATAACGAACAATGTCCTAGATTAAGAACAGACGCCACTTACCGTTTCTACAGTTTCTTCAACTGAAAAAATCTGAAGGCCAACAAATGACGTGATTGCTACCTAGCTAGAACATGCACACCTCATTAATTGCATGTGGCAGCATTGGATACATGAGAGACATTGTCGAAACACCACTTGTACGGCGAAATCCAAATAACAGATGTCATCCTTACCCATTATTCAATTTAACAAATTTTAATTGTGACTCACGCGAAACGCGCACCCCTTACAAACGCGTGACCAATATATGCGAAAAAAATATGTTTTGTTGAACACACTTTGGCATTACAGTCTACAGGCAGGTGCCAAACAAGCGCTTACCGGACAAAGAGTTTATGTGCATCGTCAACTGCTGTGGGCCTAAAGTCCTTCGTTGGCTTGTCGTAGACGACCAAGGCCTCAATGCCAGTTTTATCATGCAAGTCCAAGTGCAGTGCCTTACTAACAGCGAAGTGGCGAGTTTTTACAAGAGCATTCGAATTAAGAAACCAGGAAGCAAACGTCAGCTCCATGAACCTATATACCCTAAGGCGAAAATTTATGGAACAGAGATGGTACCTAGAAGCGACACTCATTTGTTTAGATGTAGCATCCAGTATTGTGTAACCGTAGTTATGCCAATCAATGCAAACCGGACAGCGCTTGAGCAGTGCAAAACAGTAAACAACCACGAGGGTAGGTGCTGCTGGAGGCGACTGGACAAAGAGCAAATCTTCGTGCATATTTTTGACCAAATGAAAGAAGAGCCAAATCGATAGGAAAATCATCTACACATGTTAGGGAAGGAAATGCAAAAGGCACGTACCTTAATGACAAGAGCTAACATACGAGGAAAGTAGTTGTCTAGATAGGCAGGTGGTTCCATTATATATGAATAGACCACGTCATCACCAACACCATCATCAGAAACTGGTTTGTCGCCCCGATACCCAGAAAATTTAGCTCGCCAGCCATCTTCAGAGAACGACTTAGCGTGGTTTTTTATGCGAGGAGATCGAGTTACATCACCCAAGACCAGAACATGAATCGAGGGTCGAGATTTCATCTGGGCATTAATGTAAACAAGACATGTCAGTAAGAGAAAGACCGACGACAGCGGATATTTCGATTAAGCACACACATTCAATCAAAATTGGTTAAAAGCAAGTGTCGACGAATGGCTTGAAATGCCTTTATCAGAAAACTATACAGTCAAATAGAGTACCTAATTGGCCTCTTTTCAGGTAATTTATCATGCTGTCGTCTTTTGCCGCTTTGAGAATTCAACAAGGACGAAGCCAAAATAGGTGAAATACATTAAGCGACTGTCATTCAAAAGGGGAGCTCACGAACGGACTTAGCAGAACGAGTACAGACGGGAAGCCCAATTAATAACGAAAACTAAGCTATTTTATTATTCTTTGAGGAAAAGGAATACCCGGACCAACATTACCGTCTATTCGGATTATGTGATAAGGATAAAGGCATGTCTAATGCGCAGATGAAACACTAGAAGCTACACAATGCTGTATTTCTAACTCATTTAGGATGAAAATACAAAGCCAAACCTGAAAAAATTTGCCCGGGAGAACAACGCCGATAAAAGGAAACACAAGAGCGCAAGGAGTGAACAAAGAACTTATAATACACAATCACCTTGCGACAACGCTTGTCACGAGTGAGTTGCACGAAATCATAAATTCGGTTCATCCGAATCTCGAAGAGATTGACAATGCAGCCACCGGTTGCCATCAGTTTTCCTGATAATTTGACGCTCGATACATTGGGAAGACTAAAGATATTATTATCGACATTTCCAATAAGAGTTAGACGCCGTTTTGACCACAACCGAAGCGACAATCTACTTGGCAATTCACAATCTTATTTCCACAACGCAAGCATATATCCTGGGAAAACGTGGGGGAAAGTGAGAATAGCAAACTGGAAAGCAATGGATTAGACTTCAACAAGCCATAGGCAATCTTTGTTAACGGCAACACAGAAATTCTGGAACCTACGTGGACAATCATTTGCTCATAAGTCAATAAGAAAACGAGGAAATTGAGTTATTTCAATATGAGCAGAAAATGTTGTGGACCAAAATTAGTTTTGACACGGCGAATTTTAAAAATAATAGTTTTTCTCAACAATCGAAATTTTCGTTTTAAACCCGGCAAAATCGAAATTGCACCACAATGTTGTGGGACGTCATGCATGTGAATAAAATGTATAAATTTGACGTATACAAATCACGAGAAGCGTCTACGTTAGTGATGGGAATCAAATTAATAAGGATTCCTTTAACGAAACAAAATGCACAAAAGATGAATGGCGAGCGATGCAACACCTATCACCAACCGAATTCAACAGGAACGGAGAGACAGGCATGAAAACTTGGAACCTAGGAACGGGTAGTGAATTAACGAAGTAATTACACCATGACCATGATGTAAACAAGTAATGGGCGAGAACTATGATACATATTTCAGTAATTAGCATACTGAACCCCACACTATGAGTGGTATTAACTAATGACATTCAGAAAACCTTTGAGATCTGTTACTAAAATAATGGAGCGGAAACGTAATAAATATTGTCCTGACACCAAATTAAGGGAACTGTACACAAACGGAGTAAATGGCCACGGGAAGAGTCATTCAAAAACTTGCAACATGAAAGCCAAAACGAGGTTTAAAGAAGAGTTATGATAACTGTCGTTCATGGACAGCCACGACTTCAGAATAAACCATCACCAAACGATACAATAATGGGTAAAAAAGATATCAAATATACTATCAGCTACCAGATTCAGTGGAAGGGCGAATAAAAGGACGGTGATATGGGTAAAGAGGGGGTAGAAGTAATTGGGAAGTGATGACAAAGTGAACACGGAAGAAGTTGGTAAATGGAAAGCGCAAGGTGTGAACCTTCACCTAGAACCGACAGGCAGGTGTGCTAATGTGACACAGGTAGTGCGAAAGCGAAGGATAGCATTGGGATACGGCAAGTTTAAGAGCAAGCCAAGGCGGAGAGAATCACCTGAATAGCGCGCGTCAAGATATGTGCTGGTGAAGAGCGAGCCTGACAAAAATGCGTATTAAAATAAGACACACAAGGTTATTTCCGATGCTGACTATTACAGGAGCAGGCTAAATTATGTAGTCATCAATCAGTATCAATAGTAAAAGAGTAATTTTTAATGGCAAATGAAATACGATGAAATGCCCTCTTGAAGTTCAGTCAAGAAAATCCATGGATTTAATGCAAATATTTACATGATCTAACTCCCGCAGTTTTTTATTCTATGGGTGTGTTTAACGTTAGCTACAGATAGATTTTCATAAGACAATTAACTTACAGATAATGTGGTCGAATTTCCTGATATCCGATTAGGTATAGCTAGTTACAATAAGTCGGCAATTTTTAACATTACAGATACAGTCAAATTAGTTATATGTAATTAATTGACATTGGAGTAGTGATTGAATCTTGGATGAATCATCCAATATTCTCAGAATTCACCAAAATAGGATAGTATATGTGCCACGTTGTGAAGCTCTAGAGAAACTCCCGACTGATTCCTTCACAATATTTCTGTCTGAGCGCAACTTTTTTAAATAAAAATTAGAAAATTGATGCTTCTATTTTAAAAAGAAAAAATTGACATCGATACACTATATAGGTAAATCAAAATGTTTAGAATTGAAAAATGGGTACGAAAACTGCTGGATACTTTGGATTTGACGATACTTAGAGAGGATGCTGATGAAAAAGGCGTGAAATGAATCTTTTACTGAAAATCGATTATAATCTAATATGCAAACTGGGTTTTACTGCGTCTTTGTTTATTGGTTAGTTTGCGTCAATGATGTTTCAAATTTCTTTCACATTCACACACTGCATTAATAACAGATCAACCCATAAGACTGACTGCATATTGTCTAGAAATTCATGCAGACTACTGTTAACCCAGGTTCACAGTCAGTCAAGTGTCTGATTTCCAATTCATCTCTTTGGGCACCGATTTGTGGTATGCTTTGCTTGCAAATCTTGTCTAGCAATAAAAGTCTTTCTAGTCAATTTGGCTTCTAACTAGGTTCTTCTTTGTGTGTAACGAGTGATTTGACTATTTGTTTCAGTTTTTCAATACGAATCCCTGTCTTAACTCTGGCCGATGTATCTAGAAATCGATTTATACTGCATAAGCAAATCGATTGCAATTTATTTCACAATAAATTTCTGCAACCTTTTTATGACCTCTTCTCAGCAGATCGATCCCAAAAATCAACTTCTGTCATGTCTGAATTGCGAATGAGATGTTGTCGTATGAGGAAGGACATAGGTACATAAATTTGATACCCAGGGTTTTATAATAATGTACATAAAGCACAGAAATCAATCGATTTCCAAAAGCTGCACTCAGAACCTAACCAAGTTTATGACTCCGTACTTCACCTGAAAGGGCACAAAAAGAAAACTGACTTTTCTAAAAGCTAACACTTGAGCTGTCGGGAAATAAATTATGTATACACTGTGCCTTTAATTGTAACGTTTAAAATAGAGGCACATTTTTACTACAAGCAAATTTAAACTATGCCAGATAATATCGGAATTTATTTTGCATAGACTGTTGGATGGAATGACCGAAAATCCGTCTACGTTCATGTGGTGCACTAAAACGAATTAAACCCGTAATCTACCGTGGGGCAAATTCTCTTGATGGCTACAATTTCACGAAGACCAATAGTTGAAACTGTTCATTTCTTTTACGGATTTTTGCGCGCGGAGTCTTCAAACAACTGGAAATAGCAACGTATTACCCCTCTTTTCATTGCACCCCGCGAATTTACTGATTTTATTCAAAATTTTTCGCTACTTAGTTGTTAATGAGATAGTCGAGTGTGCTTAAATGGGTATATTTTATTCAGAAAAAAGATGCGTTACTTCGTTGCCACAAAAGCTGTTCCTGGGATTTTGCAATGTACGGAGATAAGGTGGTAATAAAATGGTCGGCTTAGTGGTAACTTTAATATCTCGAAAACGATAACATAAGCCTTATTGGCAATGAATGTTCCTGCCGTTCCTGTAAGTTTAGTAAAGATCGCCTCAATCATTCCAAACATACCTGTTTACAGAACATTGACATCGGTGTTAGACAGACATGGCTTGAAGCGTTATAAAACGTTTGTGTGTTATCCTAAAGGTAAACATCAATTAATAATAAGCATAAACAAGAAAAAAAGCCTAAAAGTTGGACACATTGAAGCAGCGTCATGACTTCTGGGTAAACATAGTCAAACAGAGAGCTCAGCAAGGACACATAACCAGTGGTACAACTGAAGGATAGATCAAAACAACATATAAAATGTTACACACAATATTTTTATTATTGAGAAACACTTCAATTGACCAAAAGACTTGGCTAAATAATTGGTTTGTACTTAAAAGACTATTGTGAAACGGTAGTTCAAACACTCGACAAACTACAGCTTTTGGATTGATTGTTTGTAACGGGTCGATTTGTTTTAAAAAAAGACTGGGTTATCTACAAAAGCATAACCAGCAATGAAATTCGTGCATTTATGACATCTTCAAGCATAAACGAAAATGACAAAATTGTAGTTTTATCCTCGAAAAAAGGGGCCGTGCGTGAAGACGCCACTAATGAGGAGGTTGTATCCCACTGACATTATGACGTTTCGTTTTGGAATCATCCTCATTCAAGCATTAAGATAATAGCAGCGACTCCGACTCTCAAATAGAGAGTCCTGCCACCACTATCACGTTCTGCAGACTTTTCCTCTTCTTATGTGACCACTACTCAGCAATTTTTGTAGGGTTACATTCCGTACAGAAATAGTTATTAAATTTTTTAATTAAAAACTAATTGTTTTTATTTTAGAGGCTGCAAAAGCTCATTGAAATAAATGATAAACAACGAGGAATGATTAAAATATTTATCGTTATAGATTTCATCTCTCGTCTGTATAATGAATACGTTTCAGAAAACCGCCATGACTTTTCTCCTCAACCCTACGTTCCGCTTTATTACTTACCACTTGACTG